CTCCCGCACTCCCACTCTCGCACACTCTCTCGCTCTCTCTCTTTCGCACACTCATATTACTCAATGGCGCTCTCTCGCTTGCTCTCTATTTGGCTTATTGTGATAAGCTGAGACCGGCATCTGGCTGGGGGGGAGCTCTTCTGGCTTTCTCTCTTGCCGCTTGCCACTTGGAGCTCTCTTGCTCTCTCCCTTTCTCGGTGTTTCAAATGCGAGGGTTGATTTAGCTTTTTGGGGGCTTGGAGCCCTGCGATTGGATGCCGCTCTTGCCGTCCAGCTGCCTATCACACAGGTGCTTCGCTAGGGTGGCTCTGTTAGACCGCTGTTAGAGCTCTGGGCACCTCGCACCTGGGCACCACTGTAATGGAAGGCTGCGTAGGCGCACCTGTGTGTCACCTGTATGCGTGTGTAGGTGGAGCTACAAAATAGTTTTTACGTTTTTTCAAAGGATATTTCCCATTATTTTTTTTACCCTGTTAGTTAGGTCAACCCTTACTCTCCTCCCCCCTATTAAGCCACCTTGAATGATTGTTATTATTGTTCCGTTACTTATACTAATTTTGAACAAAAACCGCACAATAAATTAATTCTAAAAAAAAAACCAAAAAAAAAATAATGATATCCAAAAAGTGAAGAGTGGCAAAGGGGTTGAAGGGATGAAGACAAGAACCAGGAGCTTCTCTACTGGTTTTTAAAAACGACTCTTAACTCCACGGGTGGGAAAATTGTGTTGCAGGGGCAGGGCCGTGGCCGGGCATTATTCATACATAAAAAGCCAATTAAAAATTTATAATAAACCCAACAACAACCCCAAAAAAAAAATAAAAAAAAATAAAAAGAATTAAATGAGAAACAGTGGTTATAATTGGAAATGAATTATAAGGAAATCAAATAAAAATGTTATAAAATATTTCCAAGATTAAAATAAGTAATTTCTTACTCCCCCCCTTTCTTGCCCCACTGTGTCGGGGTTGGGAGGTCCACACGCACCTCTGCCACTAAATTAGATGTAAAATAATGAACATTTCAATTAAAATAATTAATATGAGGCTGCACTTTGCCGCATCCTTGCAGAGGGACGAAGGACCAACACTAAGCACTCAATTAACCATTTTAATGTTTATGGATCTCAGGTTAGCTGCCCGAAGGGGGGTTGGGCGGGATGCTGTGCTTTTTAATTATAATTAAACATGCGAGCAACTGACACAGGCCGTGGTGGACTCAGGGGGTCACGAGTGGGTGGGGATGGTGGTGGATGAATAGCCTTTCCACCCTACCACCCCACTCTACCTCCCCCCCCCCCCCTCTATTGCGTTCTCTTTCGCTTTCTGCTTAGGACATAATCACTTAGCCGCGTGCAGAGCCCTATTTAAAATTAATTCTGCTCAAGTGCGTTTCTTCGCAAGAGACACAAAACGAGGCACACAAAAAAAAAAAAAAAGTGGAAATACACGTGGCACACGTGAACGGTGCAAGAGGGGAGCGGTGGTGGCAGGCTGCCCCCATTTACCGTTGGAATATATATTCGCGAGCGAAACAAATTGCACGCTAATTGCTCATGTTCAATTAAAAGCCGGTAGCCGGTAGCTCCCCAGACTTACACCGAAAAGAAAACTTCACAATTCCCCCAAAATTAAATTATATTTTAATTTATAAACCAAATAAACTGAAACGTTGTATAATCATAGTATTAAGTATCACTAACTATCATATAAAATTTAAATCAATTATCTATAAAACCAACCAAGTTATTTCGCTTTTTGTGGAAAACCTAGTGGTTAGGAGAAATGCAGGAATGAGTCTAAATTGGTATCCCTTAGCTGGTCACTGGGCTCTTTCATTCCTGTGGCTTTGGAATTTGGCACAAAACACACACACATACACAGATGCGCTTTCCCACAACACCAAACGTAAGAGAAAGAGCAAGAGCGAGTGAAGAGAAAAGTTGGGGTTGGAAGGCTTTTTGTTTTGGTTTTGATCCTTTGCGCAAATAATTGCCTAATTGTCTCTGGTTCGGTGCTGTCGTCCTTTTGGTTGGTCCTCTGCACCACACCCCCCTCCTGCCCTTCTCTCCCTTCTGCTTCTGATATGGAAATTGTGGAAAAGTGGAAATGGCAACGCATATTTCTTACGCAAATCCATTTCCATCTATTAATTGGCAGCCCTCGGCAGCTGCTCCTTCTGAAAGTGAAGCCTTCTCTGCCGCAGGACTCTCGCCCCTTTTTCTATTTTTTTCTTTTTTTTTTTTGTAACACAATTAAGCGCTTGTGCAAATAAAAAATGAGCTCATGACAAACATGGTACCCCCCCACCACTTGAAATGAAATAAAAAAATAAAAATTTGCATTTCCTTTCAAAACTGCGGTTATTGATAGTCGGGGTAGTGCTGAAGGATTTGGATCAATTCTCTTGGGAAGGACCTTCATTGGACTTTTGTAATTTATATCGTATCATATCGATATAATAATATGTATCTTAAGGATGCATATCTTCTCTTGTCAGCAATTATCGCATATTTTCCTTCTTTTTTGTTCGCTTTTGACTTTTTTCTTTTTTTTTCGCACGCTTCTTTGTTACCCGCAATTATTATTACCCGGCTTGTTGTCAACAACATATTGGCTTTCTCCCCTCCCTCCCTCAACCCCCCCTCCCTGAATCAGGATTCATTATTACTCCCTTCACCCCGGCCCAAAACAATAACTGTAAAGGAACAGGGAACTGGCAGGACTGCTTTTTGATTTTTAGATTGTGATTGCAGGGCATTCATCGTCAGGAGCCGTCATCGCGGTATCGAATTACAAAAAAAAAAAAAAAAACTCTAATTCGGAGGCACGCAACAATTGCACTTTTTAAAAAAATTTCAAAAGCCAACTTGAGAAGTGATTTTTGAAAAAGAATTGGAAAAGAATGTCAAAAGGTCACACAATAGTTGGTAATTGTGGGGTAAGTTTGTGGCTTTTTGAGATTTTCATGGAAATCTTAGAAAATACTAGCTATTGTGTTATTTTTAAAGTTTTCTTCAAAGGATAGACATAGTGGTGTTGAAAATAATAGTCATAATAGTAGTGCAAGATAGTTTTCTGACTAGGATAGTCAGGATTTTTATCCCCAAAAACCCACTTCCCTACCTTGAAGATACATACCCCTCTTCTACCGTCAAACCTTTCCTTACTTCCCACTTTCAACAGAATTACAAAATTTAACAAATTAATTTAATTGAATTGATTAATTTATTTAGAATAATTTAACAAATTTTAAAAGATATTCTTCATATGTGTTTTTAAAAGTGTTTCTCATAAGAAAAGTTCTCAAAGATCTTAACTCCTTTCTTTCCAAAATCAAGACTTTCTTCTAAAAAGGAAATTTTAAAATAAATATTTATATATTTCATAATATAAGCATACTACCTGATAATTTTAATAATAATTTTGTAATTTAAAACCCCCAACCCCATACACCTACTCCAAAGATGAGAAACCTCTCTGAAAATACCCCTAAATACCCACCTTACTTCTCCCTTTCATTCTTAACCCTTTGACTGACTCCCGGGGTATCTTAACCCCCAACTAAGTAGACCAGAGAGGTGGTGACACCTCATAGATGAGGTAGGGGGTACTGTGCAGAGCTTGATAAATGAGATGGCGACGCCTACGCTTCAAAAAAATAAGTGAAAAATAAAAAAAATATCAAGAGCCGTCAAGTCAGGAAGGGTTACTGGTTTTCTCTGATTTTCCGATTTAGTGATTTTTCGCCACGAGTTTGCTTGCGGCATGCCACAAGCAGTGGCAGTGGCAACGCCGATCAAGCCGCGATAAACGCGCCCCGTCAGTACCGTTTCCGACCCGAAAGAGATAGATAGTGTCGGGCGGCGGTTACGTGGCTGCGGTTGACACTCTGCCACTGCCACTGCCACACGGTTGCAAGTCAAAATTAATTAGAATTTTTCAACGGACTCGGAGTAGCCTTTTCTTTCCTGCTCCTGGATATCCAAGGGGATGGATGCAACGACTCCAAGGCGTATGCGGTAAATTGAAATCAGGACAAAAACACACTGGAACGAAAGCAAAACAAAAAAAATAAATAGAAATAAAAAAAAAAAACTACGATCATTAATCATCAAGCTAAAAAAGGGTTGACAAGTTTGTGCTACAGGGTTGCAGCTCTTGTTTCTGTTACTGTTTCCGCTTCTTGACCGGCGGAGAGTCAGTCTCACATCCGCCCGTAAAAATTAATTTCATTTAGGAAGAAAGGGGGGTAATGGGTAATGCATTTAATGTCCCTTGATGGGTTCTCCGGATAAATAAATGGAGGAATATCATCGAGCGATGATGAGTATTTTTGAAATGATTGAATTTAATATGTAAATAATTGAAAGAGTGAAGGTAGAAAGTCCTTCCTAAGAAATAAAAATAACTAAAAAATAAATAAATAAAATAGATTATGTTTTGACAAAAAAAAATTGTAGTTTAAAGATTAATTCTAAAAATACTTTCCTAATAAGCAAAATAATTTGTAACCATATCCTGTTACATCTATTTTTAAAAAATAGTTCTTTAAATCCATATATTAAGCTTTTATTAAAACAGGGCAACTTTTCAAAGAAACGGTTAAATTATAATTTAAGATTTAAGGCTTATTTAATTTATATATATTTATTAATATTTAAGGCTTTAAATTAGTGTACATTCCTGAGAGTTATGAGACTTTAATAGAGTATTTAGGGGAATTTTAGAGTTTCTGAGCTTCTTGCGAGAAACACAAACATTTTTAAGATATTTCTTGAATATTTTGTAACAACTTTTAGTTTGTTTTTTAAGCTTAAAAATTCTACATTTCAAATAAAAAAATTATATACTTAAAATATACCTCTTTTGTGGCTTAAAATAATAATACAAATATTCAAAATATATCAAAATTAAAAATCAGAAAAAAACGATCCTCGAGCTTCAAATACCGGAAGTACCGGAGTAATACGATAGAGTATCTCTTAGACTAACCTACCCCTACTCTTCCACTTCCTCTTCCTCTTCCCCATCCTCTTCCTCCTCTCCATTAGAGTCCTCTTGAGATTCCGTCTCCAAAGCTCTACCCAGCTGCTCTTCCTCCTTCCCCTCATCCTCCTCGGCCAGCAGCAGCTTCATGGCCTCCACACTGCCGCCGTTTAGCATTTCCGTCAAAGCTCTCACGTTACTTTGCTGCGTCATCAGCTGATTGATGACGTAATCGGTGGTGGCAGGATTGCCGAGAAGGCTGCTGCGCAATTCTCGAATGCGCCGTCGACTGCGACGGTGAGACCGCGTGGCGGCATCCTCCTCGTCCCCGTGTCCTTCCACCAGGATCTGAATGGCGCGCTGCACGTTGTTGTTGCTGTGGGCGAGAGCGAGACGGGCTTCGCCTTCCGGATAACCCATTCCGGTGATCAGTTTCACAAGACGTTCCGTTTCGTTGGCATCCTCCTTGATGGCCACGGCTGCGGCCCCACCAGGAGATCCGGCTCCTTCTTGGGGCGATTTTAGGTGTTTTTCCACTTCAACAGAAGACATATTTTACGCGGTACTTTCAAGCGGCCACTTTGGTTCTTCTTCTCTGTGTTTATGTTTTGGTGATATCGATTAATATATCGGAAATGGGGAGAGAGAGCGCAACGCAAGAGAGAGAGGAAGATCAGCTAGGAGGAGAGCAGGGTCAGCTGTTCTAACTGTTCTCAGCTTATCTCGGAGATCACAGTTATCGGTGGGAACAGTTTCAATTTCTAATTGGTTTTCAATGGGAAGGTTATATTTAATTTATTTTGTTAATACTTAAGAATCTGATGAGAATGCGCAGAGATATAGCCTTCGCCAGGGGTCCTATGGGCATTCCCCGTGTTTTTGAAGGGGACCCCCTGGAAAATTTGACAAAAAATCTAAAAAATATTTTCTATCCAGATTTTGATGCAGATCGATGGAGAATCGATCTACAAATCATTTTAGGTACTCCGATTGAGAATCGGATGAGAATTGGCAGAGATATATCCTTCGCCAGGGGTCCTATGGGCATTCCCCGTGTTTTTGAAGGGGACCCCCTGGAAAATTTGACAAAAAATCAAAAAAATATTTTCTGTCCAGATTTTGATGCAGATCGGTGGAGAATCGATATACAAATCATTTAAGGTACTCCGATTGAGAATCGCATGAGAATTGGCAAAGATATAGCTTTAGCCAGGGGTCCTATGGGCATTCCCCGTGTTTTTGAAGGGGACCCCCTGGAAAATTTGACAAAAAATCAAAAAAATATTTTCTGTCCAGATTTTGATGCAGATCGGTGGAGAATCGATATACAAATCATTTAAGGTACTCCGATTGAGAATCGGATGAGAATTGGCAATGATATAGCTTTAGCCAGGGGTCCTATGGGCATTTCTCGTGTTTTTGAAGGGGACCCCCTGGAAAATTTGACAAAAAATTTAAAAAATATGTTCTATCCAGATTGTGATGCAGATCGATGGAGAATCGATCTCCACATCTTTTAAACTATTCCATTTAAGAATTGGATGAAAATTACCAAAAATATATCTATCGCCGTGGCTGGTATTCCCATTTCCCAAATAATAGTCCATTTATATTACAAGTTAGTTACAAAATATAATCGCACTGTTGGAAAATTTCGAGCAACAGCTTGAGGAAGATATGGGCCTGGATGGGAAACAAGTCCCACAGCTGCTGCTAACTTTGACTTCTATTTATGCGTTGGACAATTTTAAATAATCACCCCTTTGGGAAATTTCAAACAGGATACCCTTTCGCAGCGTGCCACCCCGACCATCAGTAGCGACTTCTGTGTGTGTTTGTGTTATTTACACTGATTTATTGCCATTTTCTTTGGTCACTCTTTGTTCGGATTTGTTCCTCTGGATGGCTGGCGAGGGGGTGGGTGAAAGTAAAGAAAGCCGGGCGGACAGGACACACAACAAACAACAAACAAGTGGCCCGTAAAAAACACATAGCCGGCAGAAAACCCTCATCTATCACAATTTCTTGGCCCGGTTCGGTTCGGCTCTCGGTTCGGTTACATTTTTGGGTTTAAAAACGCATTATTTGGCTCTTTTGGTAATTGAAGTTTTTAGTTTTCATTAGCCTGTCGAGAAAAATAATAAGGGGAGTTTGGGTTGGGTTGGGGTTGACACCGTTCCCGAAGATAAATTGCACATTTAAATTAACCCATTAACGGTCACGAGGACCAGCTTTCGAAGGACACTCGACCTGGGACGTTGGCTAATATGGGATACAAAATCCATATTTATGGCTTGATAAAAACTGGGGATTTCGGTTCTTGGGATGATAATGAATTTTGTTTTTTTGTTGGGAATATATTAAATGATAAAATCATTTAGGAAATAAAACATTTTTGGGTTTATTTGGTTAGTTTTTATGAGGGTTTTCATCAAAAACTATAGGAATTAAGATAATAAACTAAAATAATCATAGTTTATGCATTGGGTTTCATATTTTGAAGAAAATGTTATGATTCCCAACTAGTTATGGCAGAAAATAACAACAAGTTTAGACACGTTCTTCAACAAAGCATGGTTATAATTCCTAACTAGTTTAAGAAGTCGAGAAAAACTTTCGGAAAAATACAATCTAAAATAATTAGATTTATATTTAACAATCTTAAACAAGATTTTATAAAAAAGATTAAATAAGTAGAAAATGTTCTTTTAAATTTTTCAAAAATCCATTTCTAGACTCTTATCTATATTTCCGGGGTTGACAAAAAAATAAATAGAACCGGGATCATATTTATGAAAGAATTTCGAAAAAACTACCTCTACCTCCGCTTTAATCCCATCATAAAATAGAAATACAATGGAATACACAATAAGGCCAATAATAAAATCAACAGGAGCGGAGTTGTAAGCCGATACATTTGTGTGCAATTGCCAATGTCGATTTTAAAGCGGAAATGGAAAACTTCGTCGTCGTCTCCCTTACAATTTTTCAATTTTCCCAGAAAAGAAAAGCTATGAAGAAAAATAACCGATTGAAATATGTGCGAAACGCGTGTGTGTGTTTGGGTCCAAGATACTTATCCAGGGATAAGTCGAAAGTCAAAAAAAAAAGTGGAAAGAGAGTTCAAACTCGAGTTAGAGTTCGATTCTGGGCGAACAAATGGCAAAATCACTTAACACACCGTTAACACCCACATTAGTTGTACTCCGTCGCACAGAGACAGCCAGAGTTTCAATTACTTTTTCGGCCCAGCAGCCACCACCAAAAATTATTATTATATCATGGAACCACTCCCGGCGTCTCATAATCGAATTAAATGCACTCCATGGCGGGTACTGAGGGGTGGGAGAGGGGTCTGAAGTCTGGGAGTCTGGGGGGAAGTCGAAAAAGTCATTAAAAACGCAGGCAAACGATTGCACGCAAATTTGCTGGTACCGCTCACTGTCTTTGTTATATTTTAACTTACCCAACCCACCACTAGGTTTTGCAATTCGGGATAAAGAAATAGGTATAAAGGGGAACTTTGTATATAAAATAGAAAAATAATCTGATTATTATTTTAAGGCTAGGATTTAAGAAATATAATAGGAAATATAGTAGGAACTCTAATCATTATAAGTTGTATATTAAATATTGTCAAAAAGTTATTATTTTTTAAGTTTTATTTTCACCTAGTCAAATTTTTAAAATTTCAGTTTCATTATCAATAAATAATCATTATTTACACAAACGGTATAATGTTATGGTATTAAAAATGATATAGTTATTGATATATTATGGATATTTCAAAGATTTTTTAATTTAAAACAAAACAAATAATTATTTTTCGCAGTTCCTAAAATTAGGCATTATTCTGAAGTAAAAATATGTAATTCTAAACAAAAGGTCAAGGGTTCGAAACCGATAAACGATTTTTTAAAGATTTAGAAAGGATGGAGAATAAAAATTTAGAAAGGTATTATAAATTCATTTTATTTTATAAAATTGAAATTATTAGCATTTGATACAAATAATATTTAAGTTTAAGTAGTATTACGTCAAAATAAAATTACATCTACAAATATTTTAATGGTTTTTAAAGACCTAATCTTATCTTAAAAGCATATTCAAAGCATATTATTCTATTCAAGAAATAATAAAAAAACACTTTTCATAAAATAGGTTTTCATGATTATTTTTACTAATTAAACAAACATGATTAAAGATATTTATATTTTTCATTAAAGATGTGTATAAAATAAAACCAAAATTAAAAATTCCCCTCATTTCCCTTTTTTGGTGACCCCGATTGTCGGCAAACACATGAGCTGGCCAAACTATGAATGAAATTGGCAACGAAATCGCACGTGGCGGTTCTCTGGTCACCCGCGATAAGCAACTGCCGTCGCGTGTCGCCACCCCACTCTCTCTCTCTCTCTCTCTCTCTTACTGTCCACACTTCCACGGTGGCAGAGATACTATCTACGGACGGACTCATGGACTCACAAACGGATGGATGAACGAGGTGAGCGTATGAAGGGCGCCGTATTTATGACTTTCAATCCGATTTTCTCGGGCTAGAGATCCCAGATCCATTTGCCATCGGGCGATAATCGTTATTAATATTATTAGTGTTTGTTTCTAAAGGAAATATAGAAATATATATAGAAATTTATCTTATGACTTTAGGTGAGCTTTATTTTTTTTTATCCAAGGGATTTCATATTTATTATTGATAAGACTAGATGAAACTAAGCTATATTTATAGGCCTGTGCTTGACCTCAAGCTGACCAGGAGCACTGATTAGACTCCCACGCAGGGCGAATGCAATTACGCAATGCCACCAACCCCTTTTTGGAAATTAACTTCTGTGATCGACTTGCACTGGAAAATGGCAGTCGAAGCTTAACAAATCACAAATTTATGGGCCAATCCATCAATGCCAATGAGTTTGGACCACCAATGTGCTAGAGAGTGAGACTTTTCACCACCAAAAATATATATATAGTAGCACCACTTTCAACTCTAATCGCTTCCCACGATCGCCGGGAGCTACCATTTCCATATGTAAAAATTTGGTGCCTTCATTAATCCGTAAATTAGAAGCATTGAATGATGTCAGAGAGTTCCCCTCCAAAACAGGGGCGATTTGAAGTGCGCCCCTGGAACTGGAAACAAATCACTGCACACACGAAAAGCATACTACTCTGCTCTACTCATAGTGCACACCCTTCCTTAGATTTATGTTTACTACCAAGGGCAATCTCGGAAACCCTAGGTTAACAAAATCCACTGCAATCCCTCCACAACCACCACCACCACCACCTTTATTCACGATTTAGGGAAAAGGGCAGTGGAGGTACAGTGGGGTAAATGACCACAAAAGTGGGTTTATGTTTGGGTTTTGGGAAGTGATTTGTTAAGGCCTTCTTATCGCAAGTAAATAGTTGAGGATTTTTAGAGTTACTTAAGATAAGTATATTATTTAAAAGAATTATGGGTATTAAAGGTTTGGTGTTTGAACAAAACTTTTTTTCAACCTAAGTACCGGGTATTATATTTCTTAGTTTAGGAATCTTATCTTATAAGATGGAGCTTAACATTTGAAAAGAAATCTTTAAGATCTAATAAAAATATTATTTATCATTTTAATATAAAATGGTATTCTGCTCAGGAAAAAGTTAAGCCATGAAGATAAAATCCTGTTAAAATAATCAACCTAAAATGGAATTTTTCATCGAAAAGCAGATTTTTTTAAGGGGTTTCGAACTGAAACTTTAAGAAGGCCTAGGAAAAACTATGTAAAATGGTATTTCGCAAACACACTACTAGTTTTTCAGTAAAATTTAATACAAAATTTAAAATTTTATAGAAAATATAACACTTTTTTATGAAATATTCGATATAGAACCACCTATACTATACTGTATAATACCCAACTAAATAATAACTTTAATATGGAGTCCAATGAAACCAACAAAATTACAAGTATCTAAAGTTAAAATACTCTTCTAACCCTTTTTTACAAACCTCCCTCTGCCTTTTACATTTTTTAATTATTTTAATTACAAAATCCCAGTTGCCATACCACTGTGCGACCCCGTCAACTCACTTCAGTTTCATGACACAGTGGGATGACATGTCAGCAACAGCAGAGACAACAACAAATTGTTGGACAATCGCTGAAACGAAATGAAATTTCATATTAAAACTGTATTAGCCAGTAGTTAGATGGGGAAGTAGAGACCAATGGCATAAACTGCGACGGCGCCCTGTCACAGTCAGGATCTGAAACGGAAATCAGTTGGGTCATTTGAATGAGGAGAGTCCTTCCTCCACTGCCACTCCCTCTGCCAGTTCCTCCCACCTTGCCATTCAATTGTACGCACTGAAGCATGAGAAATGCAAAAGGAACTGGCAGCAGGAGAAAGGACAGCCTCAATCAGGACTCAATTCGAGTGTAAAAACGAGGCGATGAACGACCGCGACCGCGAATCGTTTGACATTTTTGCTGCTCTGCATAATTAAATGAAGAGATGCCAGAATCAGAATCAGGGAACAGTGATGAATTAAGTAACCCAAAAACAAAAAAAAAAATCGAGAAAAAAAAGAAAGGAAAAAAAAAATGGTAAGCGAAGTCGAACCCTAACCTGGGATAACAGTTTCCATTTTTTAAGGTACTTATATTATGAGGAAATAATATATTATAGTATTAGGAACTAGTATTATAACAGCCTTAATACATCCTTTAGTTATTTTTCTTACTAATAGAGAAGTACTTCATAGACATTGACATAGTAACATTTTTTTTTTTTTTTTAGAAATAAGTAGGCCTTATCCCCAAACCGTCAGATTTAAGTCGAATCCCATCTGTATTTCTAGTCATACGTCTTACAATACTACTCAGTAACATACTTAATATTTCTAATTTCTCAGAAAAAAAAAAAAATTAACAAATTCCAACAATAATGGGCATGTATTTTAATGCCCGTATGGTGCATGAGTTGCTGCTTCGGTCACTTATCCATGAGGATGATTCGTTTTATAATTGCACCCGGCGTTTGAGTCCATCCACACGGGTCTTGACCTGCATCTCGATTGATATCAAGAAAAAAATCACTCCCCAGGACTTAAAGTGCATCCTTTCCAATACGTTTCTGGAAATATGCAGACCCAAGACGATTAAGTCGCTGATCAAAGGTAAACGCAAAGTCGAAAATGAAAACCTACGCCTCATGGTGTGGGAGGGAAATGAGCATTCAGAGGATGAATCGCCGGTCCAAACCTGTGACCCCGCCTGTGACCGCGCCTGTGACCCCGCCTGTGACCGCGCCTGTGGCGGTCATTATGTTACACATGAGCCCAAGTTGGATTCAAAAATGAAGACCAAGTTGCCGCTTAAATATTATTCTGAAGATCTTAAACCCGAAATGCCGCTTAAGTATTGTTCTGAAGATCTAAAATCTGAGTTGCCGGCCAAATTTGATTCTGAAGATCTTAAACCTGAGTTGCCGGCCAAATTTTATTCTGAAGATCTTAAACCTGAGTTGCCGGGCAAATTTTATTCTGAAGATCTGAAACCCGAGTTGCCGGCCAAATTTTATTCTGAAGATCTAAAAACTGAGTTGCCACTCACACTTTATTCTAAAGATCTGAAAGTCGAGCTTCCGCCCAAATTTTATTCTGAAGTTCTGGAACCAGAGTTGATACCCCCACTTGATTCTGAAGATCTGAAAGTCGAGTGGCCATTGGATTCTGAATATTTAAAAGTCAAGTTGCCACCTCCACTTGGTTTTGAAGATCCCAAAGTCGAGTCGGAATTGAATCTCAAATGTGGCTCTCAATTCAAACCCCAGTCTGTTCCCAAACTTGATCCGCATCTTGAGGATGAGGATGATCCAATGCAGGTCCTCCACTGGAATCCCAATTTGAAGAATAGTTCAAATTCCAATATGGATACTGCCACGGAACCATGTGCCTCCGCACCAATCAAGATCCAGCGAGGAAGTGATCCTGCTCTGGAGTTGGAACAATCTCAGATGAAGAAAGACATCAAGAGGGATTCCAAGGCCGAACCATCTGGCTCCAAATCATCCAAGAAGACCAAGGAAGTGGGTAAGTAACTTATTCGAGTTCCCTACGTCCTGAATTCCAAACCATCTGGTTTTTAAAGCATTTCAGATCCCAAAAGAGCGGAAGACTGGTCAGAACTCGGAACCAATCAAGACCCACCTAGAACGAAGCAAGAGTAAGACTGCTCTTCCAAATTCCAAACCATCTGGCCTCCGAAGATCCAAGACCAAGATAGACATTAAGACTGAGTCCAGTTCCGAGAAGTTTTCTTCCGGATCATCCGCTACGAAGGTACACCCAAAGACCAATCCTAGTTCCAAGACGTCTTTCTTCGGATTATCCCAAAGCAGTCTATCGACGGAAGTGACAACCTTCAGCAGCCAGGAGGAGCTCATGCAGTACGTTCTTGAGGTGAGTGATATGTATACCCGTTACCAGAGGCAGCAGAATCGGGACTTTTGTCCAGAAAATGACCCAAAGATGGAGTGGTTATTGCTATTGAAGCGTGTTCTATCAAGCGACTATATTATCAACAAGACTTCCGAATCTAAGGAGCAGATCAAGCTGGGCTTTCAACGTTTCTATCAGAGCTTCAAACAGACATTTCTAGGCACCAAAGTGGAAGATAAACCGAATGAACCGACACCAACCACCGTCGATCCAAATTATTTCGGAGCTATGATTTTTGGACCAAGTTGCGATGAAATGGCAATCTATTGCATCGATCGTGTCCTGGTAGCTGTAAACATGCTCCTAAATCGAGACCCCAACACATTCCAGACGATTCTAACATCGGGAATGCAAACTGAACCGTTGATCTCTTCGGAAAGCGATCCGCCATCCATGGAGCATGTGTATGATTTTAAGGTCGAAATGCCATCATCCGATACCTCATCCGAGGAGAAGCGTAGGCCCAGCACCAGTGATCGAAAGAGGAAGGTCACCGTTCAAAAAAATTCGTCAAGTTCTGATTCAAAGACTAAAAAGTGACTCTAGTCACTGATTCTTTTTTCTCTCATGATTCTAAGAAGAGATTTAAAATTGTATTAATGTTTTTTTTTTTTTGGTTTCTCATCAAAATTGTAATACCATCGTTACGACATCCATTAATTCTCAATGAAGTAGGACATTTATATTTTATATAAAGCCACTTCTAAATTTTGTTTGGAAATAAATTATTGTCGAATTGTATAAAGTTTTTATGGGTTTTAGCTAAGGGATGGTTATGGGACTCTTTGTTTTTGAAAGAACTTTTATTTAATTACATAATTATCGATTGTTTCGATAGTTTTTAAATCTTTTTAGAAATTTTTGTCACAGGTTCCTGAAAAGTTACTATATACTCTGTATTAGCCCATTTATCGATTAGGGTTAAACAATTCCGGTAAAACTTGATAGATCAATTCAAATACTTGATAGACATCGATTATTTCGATACTTTTCTATTCTCTTTAGGCATTTATACCAAAAAGTTACTATACTATACCTGTTTTTAATATTGGAACTCGAGATCTTTATTTTATTTATTATTATTATTCTTTATTCTTTTAAACTGATAATTATCCATCGTTCCGATAGTTTCTTAATCATTTTAGACATTTATATCAAAGACTCCCAAAAGTTATAATATAATACACTATATAAGACTATATATAGGCTAGGAATTAACCCAAACCCTGATAATTTTATTGATAATTATCGATTTTTTTCCATGGGTTTTACGAAATTATACCACTCACCTTGAAGCCCGACATGGCGGCGGGATTCAGTTCAATATTTATATTATTGGGCTCCATGATGAGCCCGAGGCTCTGCAGGTTGCACACCTGCGGCAGCTGAAGGGTGGGCGTGGGCACCTTCAGCACCGCCACGGTGCAATCGATGCTCGACGCCGTCACCGTGGCCGTCGCGGGCAGCGTCTCCGGCATCTTGGCCAGCGCTTTAGACGCCTCTCCACCACTACTGGCCGATGTCCAAACCCTGAAAGTTTTTCGAAAAAATCTATTATAAAAATCAATTAAACATTAACCTTAAAAAATAGGTATTAATATAAATAGTTAATAGTAGTAGAACCCATAGAATAAAAGACCATTATGCGCCTTAAATGCGATTCGCTATTGCGTTTATTATTTAAATTGTTTTTAGCGTTCATTTTGGTATAAGTTGTCCGCACTTATTCCTACGGTTACACAGTAGACCTAAGCTTAGTAGCACGAGGCGCCTTTTCGGCCAGGACACCCAAAATACAAAACGTACAAAATAGGATTCTTCAATAATAAAAAAAAAATTATATATATAATAATTTGATAAACTATACACTTCGATGTGGCTTGCGGATTGGATTCTTTAGCTATTTTTTTTGTTTGTTTGTGGATGGTTGTTGTGATAAATTAGTGGAGCGAAGTGGTATCCAAGGATAATATCAGGATAAGTATCAGTTGCCTAGGCGGCGGCCGATTGGAGGCGGCTCCTAATCTCGGCAGCCAGATCCTCGAGCTTTACGTTCGTCTCCTGCCGTGTGGTTACCTCACGCAGCTTGACCAGTCCCTGGGCCAGCTCGGCATCGCCCAGGACCACCACCAAGGGTATCTGATGCTCCTCGCAGTGCTGCAGTTGCACCAACAGCTTGGGGTTCAGCTTGTAAGAGTGCTCCGCCTAAAACATACGAAAATATTCCATGAAACTGACTCTCAAATGAATCCCAATGCCAAGACCCACCTTGATGCCCGCATCCCAGAGCTGGTTCAGCACCTTTAGCCGCTGTTCGTGCAATCCCTTGTGGGCGGATGCCACATAGGCCTCCACGTCGCTGGTGCGCAGCTTTAGGCCACTGGCAGCTGCCCGCGCCTCCAGCACGGAGAAGATCCGCTCCACGCCAATGGAGACGCCCACACAGGGTACTGCCTTGCCCCTGGGATCGAACATACCCACCAGATTATCGTAACGGCCGCCACCAGCCACCGAGCCGACGGTGGCCGGTTCGTTCGCCTGCTCGCCGTTCTGCCGGGATGTCTTCACGGGAGACGAGGCCACCGAGGCGGATTCGCCCTTGAGCACACCCTCGTAGATGACGCCGGTGTAGTAGTCGAGGCCACGGGCCAGACTCAGATCAAAGCTAACCCGCTTGTCCAGACCGAAGATGGAGCAGTACTTGAGTAGGAGTTGCATGCCCTCCAATCCCTTGACGGCATTGGGCACAGCCTTGAGCTTGGGATCGGCCAGGAGCTGTTCCACCAGCTCAGTGCCGCCACTGAGACGCACATACTCGCCGATACGATCCGCCGCCGCCTCGTCCAGACCCTTCTCCTCCACCATCTCCTTGCGCACATCCTCCCAGGGCGACTGTAAGGTAAGGTAAGATTCCAATGAGAACTGGGTTACTGAGATCTATGGGAGGTGGAAACACCCTAAGTACCTTGTCCAGCTTATCCACCGCTGAGCAAATAGCCCGGAAGTTGTCAGCCGGAACACCGCACGCCTCGAACATGCCGTCCAACAGCTGGCGATGATTTAGCTTGATCACATAGTCTCCAATGTCCAGGGTGTCCAGGATCTCAGTCACGATCTTGACGCACTCGGCATCGGCCAGCATGGGATCATAGGTGCCGGCAATATCGAAATCGCACTGATAGAACTCCCGATACCGGCCCTTGGTCATGGCGGGATTGTCGCGTCGATAGACCTTGGCGATGTGATAGCGTTTGATGCTCGAGATCTTGTTCATCGCCAGGTAGCGGGCTAGGGGCACGGTGAGGTCGTATCGCATCGACAGGATCTCGCCGCCCTGATCCTTTAGGTCGTAGATTAGTTTTGAGTCCTCGCCGTACTTGCCAGTTAGTACTTCCTGGAAAATAAGGGGGGTTTTTAGTCAGAACTTGGTTTAGAATTTCAAGGTTATCTTTATCTGATAATATGAGGAACTTTGGTTCTATAAATATATATTTTATGGATTCTATAGCTAAGATTTGTGTCTTGTTTGTATTTGAAGCTTATTTTTGTTTATGATCTTTGAAATATATTAAGATCTTTAGTGTAGAAGCTATAGATTCCTAGTTATTTAAGGTTTCTGATGGGATATAGTCATATTTATAGGAAGAGTTGTCTTTTAAACAAAAAATCAGGCTTATAAGGCTCTGAAGATGATCCTAACCAAGAATATATCTACTTTAGAGTGTTTCAGATGTCTTCCTTACTGTCCTAAACTTTCCGATAGAATATAGTGATATTTAGTATCTTTAATAATAGTTTCCCTATAAGCAGAATACTCATAGATCTACTCTAGACTTAGGTTAAGGTTTCAGATAGGATATCATCATAAATATAAGAAAAGAACCTATAAATATATCTATAACTTTTCCTAGTTTGTTGAGCTTATTCTTAGATCTATACTTTAAATACTATAGATATGATATAGAAACCTTATAGATTATATATTTCTATATACATACTTCTATAAGAATAGTTTCCTTTTGAAAAGTTTAACGAACAAAAAGACATGCTTTAAAGACTATAGAGATGATATCCATAGAATATATATATATAAACTTTATAGATATAGAGTATCAGATATCTTCCTCATTGTCTTCAAAGTTTTAGATAAGATATACTATTATTTATAAGAATAGTTTCCTTATAAACAAGTTATTCATAGATCTATACCATAGAACCCTTCCTTAATGTGACCTTTCTTGATAAATTTCCTTGATTATAATGAGGTATTATCATATTTATAAGAAAACTTTCTTTAAAAACGAAATATTTATGGATGTAACTACAAAACCTATTGATTCTATGGTATTATCTAGTAGGTAAAGCTCTTAACTAGGATATTGTTATATTTATAAGAATTGTTTCTTTATAAAGAGGTAATTTATACATCTATACTATTGAACCCATAAAATCCTTCCTTAAGTTGATCTTCTTTGATAGACCTCCTTGTTGAATTAAGTTACAGATGAGATTTAAACATATTTATAAGAAGAGTATCCTTATAGACATGTTACTCATAATCTACACTATAAGACCCATATAGGATATGATCTCATATATCACCTTCATAAAGTCCATAAAGACCAAAACTCCAAACCCCAATCAACTCACCTTCAGTTCAAAAACAGGTGTATCGATGGCCTCGCCACCATGACGCTTAAACACCTTCACGATCTTGTCCAGAACACCCTGGCGCAGTGTCATCTGCTGGGGACCATAGTCCCGCGTACCCTTGGGCGTCTTCAGGGTGAACTTTTGGTTGGCGGGTGCAGCATCGCCACCCAGCTTGGCCTTCAAGGCCAGCAGGCGGGATACTTCCTCATCGATCTGGAATTAAGAAGGAGAACATAATTAGTTATTGGATGGTGGATGGAGGTGGGGGGAAGGGATTTGCTTAGATGCTAACCTGCTGCAGTTGCTCTTGTTCTTGTTGTTGTTGTTGTTGGTGTTTCTCATGTTGTTGTTGTTGTTGCTGTTGTTGTTGTGGGGCGGGAACTTGGGCTGAGCTTGAGCGCCTGCCGCCAGAGGGCGCCGTCTGGAACGTTGCACACTGAAACGCAGCACTACAGCGCCACTGGCGGCCAATTGAACGCAACATGTGTTTGTTTTTTTTTTTTAATTTTTTCTTTTTTTTTTTTTTTTTAATAATTTGCTCAAAATTAGCAACAACTTTCTTTCTTTTTCTTTTTCAAACCTAATTGAACAACAACAACAATAATGAAACTCATTAAAATCTAATGCTTTTACTATTTCTTTCGTTACATTCAAAAAATCTCTTATTTTACAACTAAATTAGTGTTAGTGACGAAATGCAGTTAATGTACAAAATAACCAAATGCGTGTATGTGTTAGCGTGGCAGCGTTTAAGTGTGCTTGTGTGTGTTTGGGTGTGTGCAGCTGAAGCAATTTAAAAATTAAAAATTAAATATTAAAGACCAAAAACAAAAAAAAAAAATATATCATTCAATATTGCGTTCCATTGACCGTCAGCGCTGATTCAATATTTTTGTCCCGTTTCGAAAACAGGTTTTTTGAAATTTCAACCGAACACTTTTATAACACTTGAATAACAAGAAAGTGACGCGATATGGAAGCTTTTTCTAACGCGATTCCCGCGAGTTCAAGGACATCACACGCACACACTTAAATACATACAAGCACCACCACAAGGTGGCGCCTTCCGGCACCAAATCAGCTGATCTTGGCGGCCATCATAACTGCACACACACACACACACATACTCTTGAAATTTGTCGGTCGGTCGGGTATTCTTATAGGCTAATCATATGTTGCAGAGGCTCAGAGATCTTGTCTAGCAGGTTTCATATAATTGCTATAACCACCATGTGCCTTTTGTGCATGCCTCCTGCTTGACCAGTCTCTCTCGGCCTCTCTCTTGCTGGCCTCCCTCTCTGCCAGTCAGTCAGTCGGTCATAGAACACACACACATACATACACGTGCAATAAAGGTAAGAAGCTGTGAGTAAGGGGAGCCATGCAGTTGGGGTTAGGAGCGTAGGCCAAAGAGGGTTAACTTATCTACGTTTTTTAAAATTAAATAATTTTTTTATCTTTAAAGCTTTTTCTTATCTATTATTGATAAATATTTTAATTTATTTTCTTAAGCTATAATTTCCTGATTTTATTTTCTTGCTAAGTCCTCCCTTTTGTCAGCTACGCCACTGTTTTGGAGTTCCGTAATGCAATGAGAGCAGCATGCATGCTTGTCACAGACCAGAGCGAGACGCAAATAACAACAAGAGAGCGGTGGCACGAATGTAAATGTGAAAGTTTGCAGAGCGCGCGCTCTGTTTTTTGTTGTTTTTTTTTTTTTGTCTTTTACTTCTATTTCTGCTTCTTGGATTTTGCAAGCAGCAGTTGTTGTTTTTGTTGTTGTTGCCGCACTCAATCTAATTACTGCAAAAATTCAATAGATTCCACTGCCAACACAGCATAGATCCATGAATCACAAGTCGCAGGGGGGTAGGGGTAGGGGGGTGGTAGACTTGGACAGTCCAATGATGAATGTCTCAGGTCGTGTCTGACGAAATTCATGCTACAGATTGCGGTGCAACAGGGCATCCATATATATACATATATGTATCTTTTTCGTACGTATCTTTTTTTTTTTTGGGTTTTTGGGGTTAGTGACGAACGAGGCAAGGAGGGTTAGGTGACGGTGGCAACAATTACAGCAACAAAATGCACTTATTCCGTGTACACACACAATGCCCTGGACACTCTGCGCATGGGGTATGAGGGGGGGATAGGGGGATGTTAGCACACACACACACACAAACACACTTTAAGGATGCAAAAGATAATGGATATGACATGGAGGAAGGCAAGCTTACTGACCTTCTCTTTAGACTCCTTGGCAGCTTTCAGTTGTCGGACGAGATCGCCTTGCACTTTGATTTGCTCCAATATCTGATCGCGCGTATCACTCATATTCCACTGTTACACTGTATTATAGAGCACGAGCAGGTGGCAGGGCAGCTGGCTAAGGGGGGCGCGCGTTCTGTTGCACGTTTCACTCGATTTCAGTACAAAATTTTGGTTGGCTTAAGCTCTCACAGTTTTCCTACATGCGATTGCAAGAGCGCGGTGTGACCAGGCCTTGTGACTAACGGAAATGCCATGGCCCATGGCCACCGACGAGTGGTTAGGCCACCCCCCGCCAAAAAGAGTGTCAAGTGTGACCAGTCTGAGAGAGTGGCGCCACCTGTTGTTCTTTTGGTGGGGCTGATTTATGAGCTAAACTTAATATTATATTAAAGATTATTGTTTTTAATCTAAAAAAAATCTTAATTTTCTTTAAAAAAAATTAAGAAAAAGATTTTTTATGTAAGTCTATGCCTACTTGATTTCTATTTTTTTAATATCTGATATATTTTTATATTTGGCGCCAAAAAAGTTATAATTTTCCTTAAATAAACCATAATATAAATAAATAAAATTAAGTTTGCTGGTCAAAAAGGTTAAAAATATCTAAAAACCATTATAAAACCAAAAAATAAAGCAAAATAGTATGTTAGCCAATAAAGAAATGGTCACACATTCTTAGCCAAGTTTCAATTGGTGGCAGAACAAGCTAAAAACAGACCATTTTTTCTTCAAATATTTTTGAGCAAAAATTATAAAATTTGTTTTTTTTATTTCCAAAGTAGGCCTTGAACTGGCATTCGTTTGTAGTCCCAACCGAAGCACTTGGTAGAGCTCAGTTTTACTTTTACACTGCTTCGATTCAAATCAACTCCCCAGAATACAAATAAAACACAAAATGAGCAAATCTCAAAAAGTGCCCGCAAAGTTGAAGCGCGGCAAACGCCACACACGAAACCAAGCCCACAACACCAAATCGGACGCCGCCGTCGAGAAGGAGGTGGAGAACTCTCGCAAGGCGGTGGAACGCCAACTGATCTATCTCTCGGAATCGAATCGCGCCCCGGCACCCACACGTCCAAGTCGACGCAGTGCTGCCGGTAGAATTGGTGGTGGTGGCGGCGGTGGTGGTGCTGGTGCTCCATTGTCCGTTGCCGGCAATGAGCCATCGAATGTCGGGACAGGACATCGTCGCAAGCACAAGAAACAACACCACCAACCAGCGGTGTCCTTGCCCATGAGAGATGAGACCCCATCGCCGAAAGAGAAGCCAAAATCAAAAGCCAGGACGCCATATAATGGTGAGTGATGGGTCTTAGGGTTTTTAAGGTTTATATCTTAGGGAAATTTTTAAGAAAAAAAAAGACAGTTTGTGGTTTATATTTGAATATTTGGGAATATTTTTGGAATATTATATTGGGAATATATTGAAATATTTTGAATATATGTATGGTAATAGCCCTATTCTCAAATAGCTCATGTATTAGAGTGGGGTTTTCTTTATTTTTTTAAATTTTATTTTATAATTTCTATAATGGTCCTTGAATAAAAATTTAAAATTTCTTAGATAATTGCTCAAATTTTTAATTTAAGGGTTTATAATATTTGGATAATATAATATATTTTTCTATAATTATACCAAAAATTAAATCAAACCAACTAATTTCATAAAATTATTAAAAATTTTGACAGGAGACTCAACTCTTACTCATAGACGTCTCAGACATCCATAAAAATACACCATATTTTTAAACAATAACCCCAAAAATCCCTTCCTTTAAAATAAACTCCCCAGTAGGCCTTAAAACTCTTCTAAAAAAAAACCAAATTAAAGTAGCCCTTGAGTTAAATTTTCAATTCAAACCCACACCCATCTATGGAGAAACCTCATTCCAAATTCATACCTTCCCGGAGCTTGTACAATTTTTTTTAGTTAAAATTTTTTTTAAATAATTAATTTTTTTTTTTTATATTTTACACATTATGTTTACGACAGTCTTTATGGAGTCGCCACGCCGGAATGGACTAACGCCACGGGACCCAGTAGCCGAGGCGGAGCTAGCCGCCTATATGGCTGCCCAGCGCACCGGAACCGGATCCTCAAAGGTGCGTCGCCTGCAGGAGCACCTGCTCCAGGAGGATGGTGACGGCGCCGAGGATGAGTTCGGGCGTTTGGACTTGAACGAGAACTTGGGCAACTATCCGCCGGCAGAACCCCAACCGACCTATACGTGCGGAGTGTGTGGCGCCAAGTTCCATATCCGGTCGCTGCTGGGCGCCCACCGGCGCACCCACGACGATGACTTCAAGGTGCGTTTCCGCAGCCGTCGTCGTCCACGGGATAGTAACACCACCTTAACGGCCGGCAGCCAGTGCAAGTTCTGCGATCGGCGCTTCGATCTGGAGCGTACGCTGCACATCCATCAGTTGTGCCACTGCAAGAAGATACCGCCCCAACAGCGCCGCAAGCTGGCCTACACGGAGCTGGCCCACGAGAAGAAGGCACCGCTGCCCAGCTTCCGCCGTCACTCGCATTCCCACACTCGCACCCAAGGGCTGGGTGGTGGACATCACTCGCAACGGAGCGCGGGCGGAGGAGCATCGATGCCCGCCATGCAGCATCCGTTGATGCAACAACACGATCTCGAGAAGACCGTGCTCTCCAATTCGGCGGTGCATGAGCGCTGGCGTTAAAATCCAACATTCGAAAACTAATAATAATAATATAATAATAGTATTATATTATTAAGATGCTTGTACACCCGGTAATATCAACACGAAGACACTACTAGCCACATCAAGCTTGTTTCCCAGGACGCTAGGTGGTAAGCAGGACACCATCAAAAGGACACTTGAAAAAAAAAAATTTGAAGATGAAATGGATGAAAATACACTCAAACAACAAAGAAAGGAAACCAAAGGAGGAGATTATGGTTTCCTACTGACAGGACACGTGTATTTGTTATTAATGAGGATCGCGGCTCAAAGGACACTAACTAAAACTAACAAAAATAGAATCATAGTAACCTTCAACAGTTCAACGGTGAAATAGGCACACTACTACAATTATTAATTAACAAATCAATAAGGAAACAAATACGTGTCCTGTCATCCCGGCGTTGAACAGTCTACTATATACACAATAATATTATAAATCAAATAAAGCTAAATTATAAGTCCCCATAAACTATGGTCTTTTCTTTTTGAATATTTAATCTATTTAGTAACTAGTTATAAAACTCATTATTTGAATGATTACCAAGGTATTATAATCACTTATACGCAGTGTGGGCTTGGATTTTGTTTTAAATTAAAATAAAAATTATTAGTATTAAAATTATTTATGTTAATATTATAAAAAACTATGGTCTTTTTTTTCGTATTTCATCTATTTAGTAATTAGTTTTATAACTCATTACTTGACTAATTACCGAAATATTATAATAACTTCTACGCAGTGTGGGCTTATATTTTGTTTTTAATAAAATTAAAATTATTATTTTTGTTAATATTTTATTAACAATATTTTTATTATTTTAATTATTATTCTGTTTATTATATTATTATTTTTTTAACAACAATTTATAGTTTTCTTTTTATTTCTTATCCAATAAGGTCAGTTAAGGACATATTTCTCATACGCAGTGTTGTCCCAAATCGATTTTAAGATTACAAATCTTAAACAGTAGGCTTTCTTCTATAATATGATTAACTTTTAAAAGATTTCTTTGTTTTCTATGGAAGTTTTTCTATTTTTTCTTAAAATATACGTGTTTTGAATAGAAAAGATTTTAGATTCTTTGGAATACTAGGCGAATGAGTAATATGGCGACCCCTAAAACATAAATGAGAGATTCAAAGCTTAAGGAAACCCTTTTTCCTCTCATTGCTTAACCTTTTAAAGCCAGATTTATAAAACGCGCAATTTTTAAAAAATTTAATAAGCCATTCCTAAGCTTTAATAACAAAAATTACCAAGTTCATCACTCTTTTTGAAAAAAAAACAACATCTGAGAACGAAACCAGCCACCAAACCAAAAGAGAGCGACTAAGAGTGAGTCAAGCTTAGCTTTTTTCAATGAAAAAGGTCAAGCGCAAAGCCAAGCAGCACCTGCTCAGTGATACAGGTGTCTCTCTTGCCGAGCTCTCTCTCTAAAGCTCACTCTTTCGCTTTCCGACTCTAGCGCACGTAAGCGTGTCGTGTGCAGGGGATACTGTTAAAAAGAAGAAAGAGAACATTGGAGCGACTAACTAGCGATCGCTAGCCTCTGTGAGAGTGAGAGCGGCGGATATAAAAGCAGATCTCCACCGGCACAAGTGGAGCTGCAAACAAAAAAAAAATTTCATTTTCAAACGGAACTTTGGCGAAATCCGTACTTCTCCCACCGTCACTTCTTTAATTCTTTTTTCGCTGTCACTCTTTAATTTTTCCTCCGTGCTTTTCGGTTTGTTATTGTTATTGTTATTTTTTTTGCTGTGTGTTTTTTCGGTGTTTTTTTTTCGTTTTTGGACAAGGTTCTCCGAACGTAAATAAAATATTAATTAATTTATTTACTGTGTATTTAAAACGCCAAGTTAAACAATTAAAATGAGGTAAGAAAATAAAATCAATATTAAGAAAAATCAATATTTTTTTATTGGCAAAAAGTCGATAAAAAATGGAACCGTTCTAGTGATTATTACTTCCACCTGCCGACAGGTGTCAGGTGGGTGTTAGAGCTTGACATGAGAATTTTCTCAACCGGCAAAGTCATATTTCAGTTGTACAAATAGCACGGGTTCTAGAAAAAATATACAAATTCTTCAATACACATATCCATTAAAAACAAACTATTAAAAACAAGTAGAATTCTCATTTATCATAAAAGTTTCAGGTTTTTTGAAATATGAACCGCTTTTGAGGCTGTAATTCAAGTACTGTTTTTTTTTTGTTGGATAATCCCTTATTAAATATAGCCATTATACAACCACAATAGCTAATTGGATATTCCCCTCTAAAATATAACAATTATTTATGGTTTTAAGAAAAAATGTGTATTGTTTTTTTTAGCAAGTCAGTTGTCGAGTTTTTTGAAACACTAGATCGTGGGAGATAAGATAAACCTATAAATTCTGCTATATTACCAGCAGTAATTGGAAACGATATCAAGGAATTTATGATGCAAAAGTTGCTTTATATGTACAGACTTTGCTTTATAGGCTTTATATAGAGTGCTATATAGTACTTAATAGGGTCTTTTATTTAAAAGGGGGTTTACTAGTTGCTATATAATCCTAGAATAAAATACATAAAATATGGTTTTATAGGCATTTTTTCATCATTATAGGCAGTTCTCATAAAAAACCCTACAAATCTATTAATAGTATCTGAATCTCTATTATAGATCCATTATAGTAACTGCCACTGAAAAAATGTCCATAAAGACCATAAATTTTGAACTTGGTACTCCATTGTTTTAGCTTTTCTTTTAGTAATTTAGCTTGTTTTTGGACATTTTATGGACCTCCACTAAAAGATATATATACCCTAACATTGATATAAAGCTTACTTGGAGACCATTGACAGGCTAAGCTATTTTTTGGTTTATGGATATACAAGCTCCCCCTAAACTCTGATAAGATTGGGATAACACTTGCCAATGTATTTACAGTTCTACGTCAATAATAGCTTTAGTACCCCAAACCCCCATCCCCCACTGGGTGAGAATTCCATCAAATAATTAGAGGCCAACGTTTCAAAACTGGTTTCTCTATATAAAAAAAAATCCCCCTCCTCTGTCAATAGTCACTGTTTTTTTTGCATAAATTAGTTGCAGTTGTCGATGAGAGAAGGATTTGTGTATAAAAGCCATATCTTTAGTTTATTTACACCTGCCAATTGGCCAAGAATGACTTTCGTTCCGGCCAAATGTCGTCACGGGCTTTATCATCTCTCTCATACTATATGCCATGGCAGACACGATCCGATTTCAATGACAAGGCATTTATATTCCAAAAAAAAAAAAACTGATAAATATTATATTTTGCACGTCTGTTTCTGTTTGATTGCCTTTGAGTGCCTGGGTCTATTTTGAAAAAAAAGATCTATCGGAGTAATGAAAATATGTAGGTCTCTTGAGAGATCCTCCACTATATTATCTTTTATCTTATCTCCAGTGGGAGGTACAAAAAAGCATCCCAAAATGATCAATATGTCAAAGAGTTTTCTTGTTTTCTTTTTTTGTTTGCAAAAATTTTAGTCATTTAGTCATTAATTACTTCAAGTCTGCAATTATAATTACAAATTAATTGGATTGTATCTCAAGTGGTTGGTTTAGTAGATTTGAAATCTTTCATTAACGACTGAACATGGTGTAATTATAAAAATTAAAAGATAGACAATAACTAAGTCTTTCAATTTTAGAGATTTTTTTTCTCACAGATCAAAGATATTTGAGTGTTAAATGTTAATATTAAGCATTATTATTAAAGACGCCGTATGTCTCAGTTTCTTCTTTATGTTTTTTCTGTTTTATGGTCACACCTTTATCCTTCTTACTTTGAACTTTGGTCACATCTGTAAAATTCTCAAAAAACTAAAGCTATTTATTGGTCAAAAATTCCCCACCATCCATAAGTTATAAAACCATCTATAAGAAAAATGATCCCATTCAAGTATAGCACTCGACTCTACGGTAAACATTTTTGATCATTTCTTATCGTTTTTGTTTAAAGATCGCTTCATTATCAAGTGTTGAGCATTAATTACACTCTATATTCTTCAATGAATTCCATTCCATCGAATTCCATAACCGAAAAAAACGGTTAGAAGGAAGCCCATATAATATCATAAACTTTTACAATATCTGCTGTATAAAACTAAACCGACATCGACCCTGATATTGAGGATATAGACTGCTTTAATCCCAAGCCGCTTAATCGTTAACCATATGGTAGTTCGAACCGTAGAACGATATTTATGATTTAATTGGAGGTAACCGCGCTACCGAAAGCGTGTGACATTGTAAAGTTCCCATTGAGAGACCCATGATCCAATATCGGAAAGTACACAACCCTCTTCTAATCAAACCAGATCGATCTAGATCGGCTATCGGTGGTTATCGGTGGGTATATAATGGGTATGCAGATCAGTATATGATTCAGCAGAAATCGATGAGAAAGTCGAAGGTAGTCCACTCAAGAGGACTATTCCGTAATCTGCAGACGATCGGCGACGATAATCGAAACGTATCACGTAGTGCCTGAAAGGAACGCTGACAGGCAAAAAAATAATACAAGTGTTTATAAGAAACTTTCCCCCAGTACGTCTAAAATCTACGTTAATTATAGAAAATTGCCGGTTAATAGCGTTCAAGTTTTATGGATCTTATGGGCATTTTTATTGGGGGGCCTACAGCTACGCGCTATGCGTGAAGAGGGTGTGTGGTATTCACTTATCAAAAGATCGATAATCGATCCACTTAGAGAACACCCTACCCACAGACTCATCCGGTACGTGGACAGATCTGAAAATGAAAATTCCCTGTCATGGGACTCCTCTATATCAACATTAGAGATAGGATTGGGGGAGCTACTGAATATACAGGTACTATGGGGTAGGTAGCTTCGAGAATCTGTTTTGTAGATTACAGAGAATGATTCGGCTAATTTAATTGGCCAACCAACTACAGAAATTGAAGTCTTAATTGCTGGAGATTACTAATGTGACAGTTATGGCACTCACTTCTTATCTTCTGGTATCAGCCTATGACTATATTCTAGGGGGCTTTGAAATTCCCCTCAGGTTTTTTTTTTGTCGGCTATTTCGGTTATAATTTTGTGGTAATTTTAGTAAATATGTTTTAATTAAATTTTTTCCAAAATTTTTGTTTTTCTGTAAGACCCCAAAAAAAAAATGAACTCCTGTAGAAGTCGAACTCTGGTATTTGTCTACTTTATAGGGTATTCCATGTTGCGACTTGATCTTTTTTTGGAAAATGACTTGGCTTTTTTATTGAACTCCCCATCGATAGCGGCGCCCAAATCAAAGCTAATCGTTGGAACCGCCACCGCTTCCACTCCAAACCTGAACAGGTTCGGTCCTCCATTTCTCGAGAGCCCAGATCCCTATCTCTAAGATGATGATTTTTATGAAAAAAAACCTCATTCCGGTTTCCTTTTCTTCCCACAGAATCGTTTGGAGCAAAAAGCTCGTCCTATGGCTGGTCCTGGCCGCCGTAATGGTTACGGCATTGACCCTCGGCCTGGTCTTTGGACTCCGGAACAAGGACACTCGGCTCATCAGTGGCGCCGTCGTCTCCAATGGCATCGGTTGTGCAGACATTGGCGGTGATGTCCTCAACGATGGCGGCTCGGCGGTGGATGCCGCCATTGCCACGTTGCTGTGCGAGGGCCTGTTGCTGCCCCATTCCATGGGGATTGGAGGGGGATTTGTGGCCACCATTTATACGAGAAGCACTGGGAAAGTAGAGACTGTGATGGCAAGAGAATCGGCACCGGCGGCCGCCACCCAGGACATGTTTGTGGACCAGGGCGAGATCACGGGCGCCAAGGCGGGCGGAGTGCCCGGCGAGATTCTGGGCTACTGGGAGATGCATCGCAAGTACGGTATCCTGCCGTGGAAACGCCTCTTCCAGCCGTCCATCAAGCTGGCCCGAGAGGGTCATGTGGTGTCCCGGTACCTGGCCGCCGCCATCCAATCCAAGCTGACCCAAATCCAAGCGGATCCCTCCCTCTCCTCGGTCTTCCTGAAGGAAAACGGCGATGCCTACCTTGAGGGGGATTACATGAAGCGTACTGTCTTGGGGAACACTCTGGAGAGGATTGCCGAGAACGGTGCCTCGGAGATCTATGATGGCGGCGAGACGGGTCGCATGTTTGTGGAGGACATTCAGGCGCTGGGCGGCATCATTACCGAGCAGGATCTGCGTGATTTCCGAGTTCGTTGGGAGAGTGATGGCCATATCTCTGCCCAGGTCTCCGGCGGCTATACCCTCTATACCACGCCCCTGCCCAGCAGTGGTCCGGTTCTCACCTTCATCCTCAACCTCATGGACGGCCTCTACACAGACAAGTCAGATGTGTACTGGCAGCGTGTTGTTGAATCCTTCAAGCATGCCTACGGCCAGAGGACGAATCTGGGTGATTTCCATGCCGATCCGGAGAATGGACCCGCCATCAATGCCACCCTGGAACAAATGCTACGTCCCGAGTTCGTCGAGAGCATCCGGAAGTTGATCCACGACGATAGTACCTCGCAGAGCTATGATTACTATGGTGCCAACTTTACGGTGGAGGAGGATCACGGCACTGCCCACATGAATGTCCTGCATCCCAATGGAGATGCTGTGTCTATAACTAGTACCATTAATAACTAGTAAGTATATGTTTTAATCTATAATATGTTCTAATTTTTAACTCATTCTAAGAGCTCATAAATCTCAAATATTTATTGGAAGCTCTTTGGTTTGGTAATTACTTAAAATTCTTATCAGTTAGTTAGTGATTTAAAGCTTTAATATATTAATTAAATAATAAATCAACTTCAAGTATCAAAATTTAAAAAAAAAGTCATTTTTAAGAGCTAGATGTACCGGGTATCTTTACAATTATTAACCAAAATCCTCTCTCTATTTCAGTTTCGGTTCCAAGGTGGCCTCTTCCCGGACCGGCATTATCCTGAACGATGAAATGGACGACTTCTCCACCCCGGGCGTCATCAATGGCTTCGGAGTACCAGCCTCCCCAGCCAACTACATCCAGCCCGGAAAACGACCCATGTCCTCGATGAGTCCCGCCATCGTTGTGGACCAGCAGGGCAATGTCCGGCTTCTAGTGGGAGCAGCTGGCGGCACTAGGATCACCACCAGTGTGGCGGAGGTCATACTCAAGTATCTGGTGCGTGGGGAGAGCCTCAAGGCGGCGGTGGACAATGGCAGGATCCATCACCAGTTGGCGCCGATGCGGGTCAGCTACGAGGTGGAGGTGGAGAGCAGCATCACCGACTACCTTAAGCAGGTGGGACATGTGATGTACGAGGAGCCGCAGGGATCCAGCTTTGCGGCCGTCACCGCCATCGGGGCTTTGGAGGAGCCACTGCCCTTCTTCGATCGCCGGCGGATCGGCAGCTCCCTCACCATCGCCAAGGCCAACAAGATGCAGCATTAGGTGGCTGCACTTTCCACACTTTCCATCTTCGTGATCGTGATTTTATTTATTTATATATAAATTTTAGTTCGTAAGCGCCCAGGCCCATGGGTCGTCCATAACGCCCATGGGTCATGTGTACATAACTGTTGGAACCATATTTCGAATAGAGGAGTGTCTTCGAAAGAATTCTTTTATGTTTAATAACAGGCTGTGAATGCCGAAATAGCCAAATATCTGATTATTTGTGTTTTAATTTCAAACTTTACTAATGATACTAAAACTAGTTGGTATTATATTGTACATAAACGCTATTCCTACATGCCTGTTATTTCTAAAATAAATTAATTGCCAGTATTCAAGATTTTTGGGTTTGTTTTTAATTTATTCTTCATATATGTAGATGATTTATCTTTGAGTTTTGAGGACCAGAATACAACAATTTTACTGTAACTCTAGATCTAGACTTGTATTATTTGTCACAAAAAAATCTACAAAATATTTAGTTTCTAGATTCTAATGCAGAATGGTGGAGAATCGATCTAGAGATCGTTTAAAATACTCCTCTTGAGAATCGGATGAGAATTGGGGAAGATATAGCCATCCCCGTGGGCTCTATAGGGAAAACCCCATTTTCAAGGGATCCCATCAGGAAAAATGGACAAAAAATCTAAAAAATATTTCGTGTCAGGATTTTGATGCAGAATGATGGAGAATCGATATAGAAATCGTTTAAAACACTCCGCTTGAGAATCGGATGAGAATTGCGGAAGATATAGCCATCCCCGTGGGCTCTATAGGGAAAACCCCATTTTCAAGGGATCCCATCAGGAAAAATGGACAAAAAATCTAAAAAATATTTCGTCTCAGGATTTTGATGCAGAATGATGGAGAATCGATATAGAAATCGTTTAAAACACTCCGCTTGAGAATCGGATGAGAATTGGGGAAGATATAGCCATCGCCGTGGGCTCTATAGGGAAAACCCCATTTTCAAGGGATCCCATCAGGAAAAATGGACAAAAAATCTAAAAAATATTTCGTGTCAGGATTTTGATGCAGAATGATGGAGAATCGATATAGAAATCGTTTAAAACACTCCGTTTGAGAATCAGATGAGAATTGCGGAAGATATAGCCATCCCCGTGGGCTCTATAGGGAAAACCCCATTTTCAAGGGATCCCATCAGGAAAAATGGACAAAAAATCTAAAAAATATTTCGTGTCAGGATTTTGATGCAGAATGATGGAGAATCCATCAAGAAATCGTTTAAAACACTCCGCTTGAGAATCGGATGAGAATTGGTATAGCCATCCCCGTGGGCCCCATAGGGAAAACGCCATTTTCAAGGGATCCCATCAGGAAAAATTAACAAAAAATCTAAAAAATATTTCGTCTCAGGATTTTGATGCAGAATGATGGAGAATCGATATAGAAATTGTTTAAAACACTCCGCTCGAGAATCGGATGAGAATTGGGGAAGATACAGCCATCCCCGTATTTCCAAATAATACTTTATTTTTATACACCGCGAAAGTTATTATAATTATTATATATTTTTTTTATACAAATAATAAATAAAATAAATATCTTAGTCTTAAAAAATTTGAAATCTAGCCATTCTTTACCCCCAAACAATTAAAATGTATTACAACTTTAAAAACTTGTAAAAATAATGTTTATTTTTGAATTTCCCGCCCATTAGAGATGGGACTTGTGAGGGAAACTCAAATTCCATAAGGAAAACCCACCGCTAGAGGTCTCTAGCGTCAACAAGTTGCCACTAATTATAAGCATAACGCCTTGCAAGGGGCTAAAAAACGGCAAAACGCCTTACCAGTTGAACATTTCTCCCTTCTTTTTTTTGTTTACGTTTGCACCGCAAAAATTCGTGCAACTGCACTCGCAACTTTGTGTCGCAACGGCTGCCGGTGTCGAGGGCTGCGGTATCTCAAGTGCCCCCCCAAAAAACGGAAGGAAGTGCTGGCGGTTTTTTGTATTTCTTCCAAAGTTTTCTTCCAAAAAAATATTTTTCGTTCTTGTTTTTCGTCGCCTGCCTTTGATCAGCAGTTGTGTATCGCTATCCTATCTCGCTCGCACTAATAGCGGCAAAAGCCTGGTTAACCATAAACCTGGCCAAGAAGAAGAAGAAGCAGCAGTAACAAAGCAGCGGCAGCAGCAGTGGCAGCAGCAGCAGCAGCGCAGCAGCAGAATCAGTAGCAGTAGCAACAGCGGCATTTGAACCAAAAAATTCTTGTGCTTTGATTTCATTTGTTCTGTTACGGTTCTCGGTGGTGTTTTTTCTTCTTCTTCTTCTTCTTATTTTTGGCCGAGACTCTCTCTTCTCTCCAGAATCTAGACACGTCAACAAATAGCTGGTCCCCAGCTGGCCCATTAGAGAATTGGAGAACATCGCGCGAGAGAGAGAGAGATCCGATAGAGGAAGATGCGCGTAAGCAATATTCGCAGTGGACGGATCTGCCGGTTGGCCCTGTGCCTCTTGGTTATCCTACCGCTACTGTATCTTTTGGCCAACTGGAGTGATCATCATAAGCGGGTCCAGGAGGCATATCACACCCGGTTCGGTGGGCCAAAGTTTGCCCATCAGCGGCTCGAGGGCCGGCCCAAGGAGACCCCCAAACTGGTCGAGGGTAAGTAGGGTCTTCAGAAGATGGTGGAGATTTTCTTGAAGATTTGGGGCTATCACCAGAGGGGAGAAACCTGTTTTTTTTTATAGATTTTTTTTTTTTTTGACAAGTTACACATGTTACATGTGTAGAGACACCTACGAGTCAGGGAGATGATGTCTATAAGAGGGTTTATTACATTTTTGGTTGTCTTGGGTGGTTTTTTGAAGATTCTATGGCTTATATATCTTTGGATATATCTTAGGATTGTTCTTATAGTATCCATAGGTATTATATATCAAATATTATCTTTCAAATATGGTCTTAAAATGATCATAATATCTTAAAATCTACTACATCTCCCAAAGAAATGTTAAAAATGTCTAATACAGAGGGTTTTTTGATAGAGTTATATTATATATAGATCTTAAAAACCATTATAGATACTTTAAGATCATGGTTTATGGAAGAGTTATATTTTATAGATCTTAAGATCCATTATAGATGCTCCAAGATTGCCTAATATATCCAATATTCTCTTTAAAAATATTTAAATAAATTAAAGTTCTTTTTAAAAAAAAAGGTATACTTCTCCAAGACCCTAAGAACTAAGACCTTATAAGCGATAAGGTTTCGTTTTTTTTTTTTAGGAAATAGAGGAAACCTTCCATTAAGACCCTAAGAACTGAATGATAAAAAATCAAGACTGACTAATTTTCTTAATGGCTTGATAAAAGCAAACAATTTATCGAAGAAACCACCTTATCTTTGAGTTAAAAAACCTAAAATATTTGAATTTAAAGAGAAAATAATTATTTTATGGGAAATGGGTATTATTTTTAATCAAAATATGGAGATACTATAAATATAGAGATACCTTTACCACCCAGTAACTCTACAAAAGTCAGCTATCCAGACCTCTGTTTAAACACCTGCATTTGCATTTCCAAACCAGCTATTTAATATTCCATATAATTCCAGGCCTGGGTAACTTTGAGCCCAAAGATCTGACGCCACGTACCGGACCCGGTGAGAATGGCGAGGCCCACAATCTCTCCAAGGACAAGAAGAACAAGGCGGATGCCTCCGAAATGGAATATGGAATGAATATCGCCTGCTCCGATGAGATCTCGATGCATCGCACCGTCAAGGATACCCGACTGGAGGAGTGTCGTCATTGGGATTATCCCTATGATCTGCCCAAGACCAGTGTCATCATTGTCTTCCACAACGAAGGCTTCTCCGTACTGATGCGTACCGTCCACTCGGTGATCGATCGTTCGCCCAGCCATATTCTCCACGAAATCATCCTGGTGGATGACTTCTCCGACAAGGAGAATCTGGGCGCTCAGCTGGACACGTATGTGGAGCAGTTCAAGGGCCTGGTCAAGGTGATAAGGAATAAGGAGCGAGAGGGATTGATTCGGACCAGGTCGCGAGGTGCCACCGAGGCCACGGGTGAGTGTGTGCTGCTTGGAGAAACGTGTCTCGAGCTTATCGGTTTTGGATATTCCCATTCAGACGTGGGAATTCCAAGTCTTAGAAATGGAATTTCTAAAAGATTAGAGAGAGTTGGAGGTTATCTGTTCTGTAGAATGTAGAATGAGTTATGGTAGAGATTAGAGAAGAGTTGGTATTATTTTTCAGAAAGAAATATCAAAAGATTAAAGCTCCAAACTTGGTGATTGGTTGGTATTTCAAATCAGAAGAGAATCTTAGATATAGAAGAGAATTCTTTGGGTTCTATATGGTTATCTCTCCAAACTCTCTAAAAAGACAAGGTTTATATACCAGGGAATCCTTTCTTTATGTTTTCCCCCCAAATCTTGATAGGAAAGTAACAAGATACTCCCAAATCCTATACCCATACTCCCAACACTATAATTCCCAAACACCGAGTTCGATTATGCTCTCTAAACATGTCCAAAACTTCCCTAGAACTGCAAACTAATCCTATTTCTTGTATCCCCCAGGTGAGGTCATCGTTTTCCTGGACGCCCATTGCGAAGTGAACCTCAACTGGCTGGCTCCTCTGCTGGCGCCCATCTACCGCGACCGGACCGTGATGACAGTGCCCATTATCGATGGCATCGATCACAAGAACTTCGAATACCGTCCCGTCTATGGCACCGAGACCCACTTCCGCGGCATCTTCGAGTGGGGCATGCTGTACAAGGAGAACGAGGTGCCGCGTCGCGAGCAACGTCGTCGCAGCCACAATTCGGAACCATATCGGAGTCCCACCCATGCCGGTGGTCTGTTTGCCATCAACCGGGAGTACTTCCTGGAGCTAGGAGCCTACGATCCGGGTCTGTTGGTGTGGGGCGGCGAGAACTTTGAGCTGAGCTTCAAGATCTGGCAGTGCGGCGGCAGTATCGAGTGGGTGCCCTGCTCCCGGGTGGGCCACGTCTATCGCGGCTTCATGCCCTACAACTTCGGCAAGCTGGCCAGCAAGAAGAAGGGTCCCCTGATCACCATCAACTACAAGCGTGTGATCGAGACCTGGTTCGATGACACCCACAAGGAGTACTTCTACACGAGGGAGCCGCTGGCCCGCTACCTGGACATGGGCGACATCAGCGAGCAGCTGGCCCTAAAGAAGCGTCTCAACTGCAAGAGCTTCCAGTGGTTCATGGATCACATTGCCTACGATGTGTACGACAAGTTCCCAGGGCTGCCGGCCAACCTCCACTGGGGCGAACTCCGGTCCGTGGCATCGGACGGATGCCTGGACTCGATGGGCCTCCAGCCGCCGGCCATTATGGGTCTGACCTACTGTCATGGCGGTGGAAACAATCAGCTGGTGCGGTTGAATGCCGCCGGGCAGCTGGGCGTTGGAGAGCGATGTGTGGAGGCGGATCGGCAGGGCATCAAGCTGGCGGTCTGCCGGCTGGGCACTGTGGACGGTCCCTGGCAATATAATGAGCACACCAAGCACCTGATGCACCGCGTCCACAAAAAGTGCATGGCCCTGCATCCGGTCACCCAGCAGCTGGCGCTGGGACACTGCGATGTCAACGATAGCTACCAGCAGTGGTGGTTCAAGGAGATACGTCCTCGGTGGTAAGTTCAGGTCGGATAAGGATATCGAGAGGATCGACAAGGACGGGATCATAAAGGGTTTCAAAGCCGGGGCACGGGGGGACGATATTTTAGAAAAAAAAAAGAAAAACAAAAAACAAAACAAATAACAGAAAAACTTAAAAACAAAAAAACATAAAAAACTAAAAAAAAAAGCAATTTAGTGAAAATGAGAAATAATTAATGGAATTGTTGTTGGTTTTTTTGTAACGCATACGACTATAAAAAATAACAAAACATAAACACAAAAAAAAAGAATCATAAAAATATTTAAAATTAAGAAGACTTTTGGAAAAAAACAGACACAGACAGCAGGCAGGCATGGAAATACTTTCAAGGTTCATTTCTTATCAAGGACATTAAATGTCCTGGAGGAAAATAAAAAAAAAAACTATAACCAGAAAGCTCCCACAAAAAATATTCTAACTTAAGTTTTAAGAACTTAAGAAGTTAAGAAAATATGTAGAGAATCTTCTTAGAGATAAAGTTTTGCTTTTTTTTTTGGAAAATCATTAAAAAAGGGTTTTTTTTCTAGTACTATTCTAGTATTCTATTAGAACTTCTTTTCTCGAAATACTAGTACTCTTCTATTTTGGTATTTCTAATAATACTTTTCTATTTTAAATTTAAGAGTATATATTTTTGACAAAAATTTAGAAAATATATACTTAAAACAAGCATAAAAAAACAATTTTTAAGAATTTTTTTTTAAAGAGTTTCAAAGTTTTGATTGTGTTTTTTTTTTATAGTAATCGAAATTGATAAAGTTTGTAATAGTTTATGAGATATTTGTTTAAATTTTAAATTTAAAACTATGTTTAAAAACTATAAATACTCGCTTAAAATAATTATTAAATTTTTCCTCAAGAATTTTAAAAAACTTTCTTATTTTGAGTTATTTTTTCAAAATTTTCAATGTAAAAATAGATATTTTAGTTACAAAATTATAGAAATTTTTAAAAACAAACATAATATCCTCAATATGTAAGCTTTTAAATAATTTTAAAACCTTTTTCTTTAAGAATTTCCAAAATTTCCTTGCTTTTCTTTGAAAAAACATTAAAAAAGATAAGTTTTCTTATATTTTGAGATTTTTTCCTAAATTTTAAACTCAGAACTATTTATTTTATATAAAAATGGGTCTAAAAAATGTTAAAACCAAGCATAGCGTCCCAAAATATGCTTTTAAATTATTTAAAAATTATTTGTTTAAGAACTTTAAAGAAAATTCCATAAAAAAAACTAATTATGAATCATTCTAATATAATCTATGAAACTATGAATATTTTTAAATAAGCTTAATCTTCTAAAAACTTTTATAACACTCTTTTTTTTTAAACAATCTTTTTTAAAATTTTCCAAAAACCCTAAAAAAGCAACAAATCTTTTAAAGAATCTCATAGAAAAAGGATAAGAACCTCGACCATCTCTATATAGTATTTCCATGTCCCCATGCCGGTCCTGTTACGTTTTTCCAGATGAGTGAGAAAGAGCTAGCTAGCTGACGAGCATGAGATAGAAAGAGAGAGTGCGTTAGTTGTAGAAACGATTGCGAAAGAGACGGAGCGATGGCGAGTGCAATAGCTGAATAAATTGGTAGATTATTTTTTCTAATTTCCCTTATGATTGCCAACACGAAACACAAATCAATGTACTAACTTTAGTCCGTAAATCTAAGTACTTCCTGAAAACTTACTAAGGCCACTAAGTTTTCAAGCTGCCACATTCCAATACTAATTTTTTCTAAAATTTTGAACAAAAAAACCAAATGGGAAAACATAAAGCGAAGCTCAAAATAATCCCATAAATTTTGTATTTTTTTTTATGTAAACTATAATTTAATATTTGTTTTCCTTTAAAAAAAAAAAATAAAAGAAATATTTTATATTTGAAGTGTAACTCTAGAGTTATCGAATAAGTCTGAAAATTAGAAATAGAAATAAAACGTTTTCTAAACATTTTTAAAAACATTTAAAAGTTCTTGTTAATGGGTAACCCCCCCTAATGAATGATTCATAATTTTTTTTGTTAAATAGAATCAGAAATAACAAGTGGGGAAAGTGGATGATAATAATGTTGTCTTGAAGGCGATTCGTCTCGAAGTTGCTCGATGATTGTGGCAATAACTGAGTTCCAGGGAAGTCCACTGGCGATAAGATTCCAGGAACCAAACAACAGATGGGGCGGGGAGGGTTACTAAATAGTATACAAAGTATCCACCAGCTGGCCCTTAATTAAAAATATATATATATATTTTTTTTTTTTGCAAATCATTGATTTTTCTTTTAGAAAAAAACATCCTATGTTTTTTTTTACGAAATTCCCAAAAATTCCGGGCTATCTTCCGGATGGGGCGGGGTCTCGCGGATGATTAGATCCAAACGCAATAACACCAAAAATTGTTCAATTTAATTGAGTCAAGTGGTAGGAGGATCTTATCATTGTTATTATTGTTGCCCTAACTATAAGGGTCTATGGATTTTAAAGGTAAGCAAAGGTGGCTTAACCCTATAGGGCATAAGATTTGGTAAAGATATTCTATTGTATCTCTGAGGTTAACTATCTCTCATGATCATAAAGAATATTCCTCTTTTATATTTTCTCAAAAAAGAGTATTCCCCTATTCTTTATGATATGGCATACCGCTCCTGGGGATTAGACCTTGTTGGTTGGCCCACTTGAAATTGGCAATGCCTCGATTGGTCGAGTTCCAGATAAGGGCCCGAAAGACTTTCCCGGACCCGCAGTATAAATAGTCGCCGATTCAGACCTTGGCCATCATTCCGTGATTTGAACGCGACCGTATCTTCCAAAGATGTCTCACCTTAGTTTCGTTCTTTTGGGAGCCCTTTTGGGCTGCCTGGTGGCTAGTGGTGCTGCCGGTGTTGTGCCCAGTCCCAGGATACTTGTCGTCAAGGACATCAAGGAGTTTGTGGCCCAGAATCCAAGTGTTCATCTCCAGGCTTTGGAAAAGGAAATAGTTCTTCCCAAAGCCCGTGATGCTGGTTTATTGTCAGTTCGTTATAATTTAGGAGCTCGTATTAGTGGTAAGTTTTAATATTTTCCAAAACAAAAAAAAAAATAAGATGAGTTATATTGTGAATTTCTTGCATACTTTTAGGTGATCGCCTGGTGGCCCAATCAGCCGATACCTATGGCTATAGCCAGTACCAAGATGTCAGCCTACAGTTGACATATCCGGAGAGTGGCAGCGGAGCCATCGTCTCCTATGTGGAGATCACTTGCACTCAGGACGATAGCGACGGTAGTGCCTATGTGATTGCCGGTGGAATTGGCCAGCGTTTCATCTCCATTGTCTTGGAGGCCAACAACACCAAGAACTTCTCCTACCAGGTTCAATACTATGGACAGAATTAAGTCACAGAAATCGGACTAAGTTAGAAATAGATCTTCTTGACTTTGGAGTTTTTTTTTGTTTCCTTTCTAAGATCTAAAATAAAAATACATACATATATGCATCTCGATATAAGAAAGGTTAATGGTTTTCGAATTAATAATATTTTTGAAAAAGTACTGGGTATCTTATAATTCTTATACTTATTTTATAAATGGTATTTTTGTGGGAAAAGTCTATTGTTAGTTATAAACTGATAACTTTTCAAATTAAAAGATTATTTTTTAGAGAAATCGTAGACAAGTGGACAGGTGATAGATAGCTGTGGATAGATAGGTGTTATCAAGTATACCCTTTTCTCAAAACCGTTGCAGACTTTTAGGCGGTAAATGATATAGTTTCTTATAATCATTTCTTCCAAAAAATGGACTAAGAAAAAAAGTTTAAATGGCCCTTTTCTTAACTTTCCTTTAATATTTTAATTTAATTTAAATATTTATAATTATTTCTCCCTCTGTATAGCCTATTGATTGGAATCATATATCATCTATCCATACCCATCCCCCAACCACAGCTCCTGCCACCTAATCTAGAGTAATACTAAATTGTTTTCAAAACTCACGCGCCTTCCACTCGAGTACCATAAATCTGGGCCACACCACTCACTCACCTGCATCTGATTGGGGGGATTCGGTTGGAGAACTTGCCATATAATACCCAGAGATATACCCAGAGAGACTCCAAATCGGAACCGGAGTCAGTGTCGTAAATTAAACGTTGGCTTTTATATCTCTGACGTATGACTGTATTTTGCAATTCACACAGAATGTTTCAAAAATGAATCATTTGATTTCAACAATTATGTAATAATATATAAAGAAGGTTTTCAAATATTGGGAATTATAAGTCAAAGATTAATACTTTAGGTATGGGACCCCCTTCTCAAGACCATTGTTTAGCAATTTCCGCAAAAAAATTAATGAATCATTCAAGGTAATCACAAGTGGATGATGAGACTCAACCCTGGGAATACCTTCGATTACACACCGAATCCCATTCATCCATTTGGGGACTACTTCATGTTCAATTCCGGCCTATAGACGAGAATCTACGTCAGGTAGTCAGTCAGTGAGTGCCTTTCCATATTACGTCTCTCGGGTACTATTGGCCATGTTGACTGACTTGGCAATTGACTTTATTGATAGCTTTATTTTTTTATTAGATTGTTTGCCATTGTGGGCCAATTATGCATATCAAGGCTAAGATTGCCATTTTGAGTAAATAAATAAACAAACAAACACGTGCTATGTAGAATATTCATCCCATCTTCACGGTAATTGAAAAATATTGTGAAATATACTTGAGACTTGAGAAGTACCTGCCACCGGATTCTGATGGAGGAAGTCTTTTTTTGGTCCTTGATTTGATCTATCTTAAGGTGTTTAATATTCGACCAAGTAATTGAGTCATTAACCTATTAATAACTCTTGGTTCCCTACTCCAAATCCCCTCAGATACTCAACTAAACGATTAGTGTAAGCCAAAGTGGGTGCCTATTTATAGGAACTGAGCAAAAAATTATTATGGCCAATTAATGGCAGCGGGACTGCCGAAACTGCCATGGCCAATTCCGGAGCTTATCGTTCAGTTGTCGAGCCGAACCGCCTTATCGGAGGAGTGACCGCCGATAACAGGGTCCGTATATAAGCGGGACACGGCCCTCTAGACGTAGCCAAAATCCAAAAAGCAATCGAACCAAAAACATTAGAAACTAGAAACATTTGTTTCTTTAAATTTTTATTTTTTTTTTTGGTTTTATTCGTGATCCTGAAGATGTTTCGTGTTTTGTATCTGACGGTAGCTGTGTTGGGTATCGTGACTAGTGTTACTGTTTTGGGACTACCCCATGCCCGGGCCAGTGATCTCGGCTATACGGATATCACACCGGTTACCGACGATACTCGCTATACGACCCTCCATCCGGATGTTGTTCTGACCGAAATGGACAAGGTGAAGCACTCCAAGGGCAATGTGGTCTTTACAGCAGGAGGACGCACTCCAGGTGGGTTTACCAAGAAATCGATAGAAGTCCCATAACTAAGCTAATAATCTCCCTTTTCTCTCCCAGGCGACCGTGTCATCGTCAATCACTATGATTCCGAAAGCTTTCCCAGTGCCGTGGATACGGAGGTCCTAATGAATTATCCCTCGGGAACGAGTACTGGAATCACTCTAACCTGCATTGAGGTTTACGTGGAAATGTCGGCAGATGATGCCGGTGGCTATATCACTGCTGGTGGCATTGGATTAACCAATGTCGAGGTCCTGCTGACCTCCAACAAAACCCGAAACTTTGTCTACGAGACCTACATCTATGGCTACTAGACCTCCTCCACCACTCAAGATCGATCGTACGTTCTCTTCAGATCTTTCAGCAACTAATAAAGTTTCGCTTGGAATCCAACTGTGATCGTAAACACTCCTCCAGAGACCAAAAAAAAAAAAAAAAAACAAGAGTATTATTAGATCTAGATTTAAATTAAAGAAAGACACAAGTTGAAAAAAATCATTCCTGTTTTTCAAATCCACTTCAAAGAAATTGTTTCGCTTATCTCGGACGGCACGAGAAGAACGGCACCTCCTCCTCGCTCCGAGGTCTGCTGTTTTTGGGGTCTGGAGACTCTTTGGAGTCTTATCTCATGCAATCGGGTTTCAACTGCGTCATTTCGGTTTCCTTACTTTAATTGAAAAGAGCTCAGTCCCCCAATCGGACATCATGTGATATATATAATTTAGATAAGGAGGACTGGGCCTGGGCCTGGGCCTGGGCCTGGGCCTGGGCCTGGGCCTTGGTCTTCATCTTAGGTTCTAAGATACAAATTAGCATATAATATTATAAAATTATATAAATAATAATACAATTATTTTTTATACATAATACCACGCTGATAACCTTACTGATAAGCTACAGCATCCCCACATCATTTAATATTTCGGTCTCCGTGATCAGTTCGGTATTGAAACTCATCGAGACAATAATGTTGCGGCTTTTTGTGATTTCCATAGCTATTTTGGCGGAAGCTTTAGCTTCTCCTACCGATAGTGGGCTGTCTTTGAGAAGTGAGTTCATCATTATCATCTCAACTGAGTCTGATATTATTGGGTTTTCCAGGAGGTGAGCCTTGTCCCCATATGCTAAACTATCCGGAGAGTAAGTGCGCGTATAATTGTCCGCAGATTAATGAGCTCGTGGAGAAGGGCTTTATCACAGAGGTGGTTAAATGCAATATTGATAGCATTTGTTGTCCCACCTCAATGCTCCAATCGGGAGGCACCACCTCATCAACTAATTCTGTTGATAGAGTGCCATTATTTCCCAAATCCAGATCGAATTTTAATACCAGTTCCGGGTTTGTGTTCAAGTTCCCGCCTTTGGCTGAACTTAGGTACATCACTAGCTCACATGATGAACATCAGTACAGATGTACAGCTTTATTGATTCGCGAGAATTATGTTCTAACATCGGCTGGGTGTGTCGGCAACGATCCTATCGAGAGACCCGAACATGTATGCTTTGGAAATTGTCATAATCTTACCAAGGCAGCCAAAAGAAATATATCACACGAGATTAGTGTAAGTATAGGACAAAAATCATCTTTTTAGAATAATTCTAATTTAATAAAATTATTATTCCCCAGCACGCTTCAAAATACAGATTCAATAATGATCTTTCCCTCCTTAACTTTGATGGCGGCTTGAATTCTTCTGAAATTCCTGTTATTTGTAAAAAAAGAGATTTGGAACACGCCGCCCGACTTGTAGCCGTTGGTTTCACCCGAAGAGAAGGTAAACAAACTCTACTCTTACTTAATAATTAAAAAATTAATTAAAAATTGTTTAAATTTTTTTGTAGAAAACTGCAATCTATTCCAAGAGAATATAGAAATAATGCCATTCGAGCATTGCCAAAATCTGGAAAATAATTTCAAGGTCGAGGGTATAGACGGTGATAAGGATACCCATTTCTGTGCCAGGCCCATTAACATGAAAAAGAATGATCTAGGATCCTGTACTCGATGCCTACGCGGCAGTGCCAGTGTCCTGTTTGCCATTCTATCGGACTACAGTCATTGTGTTTTGGGCATAGCCACGCCCACAATCAGTAGCTGCTACTATAGCTCGGCGGTACTGTACTACACCAGTTTATTGAATCCGGATGTCACGAACTTTATTAAATCAGCGAAATGATTTTCCATTTTAACCATGTTTGTGGTTGCCAATTTTTTTTTCAGATTAAATAAATTTTATAAAAAAAAAAAACTTTAAGAAGAAATAAATTAAATTTGTGTTTTTTTTTAAATTAAATTGAAGAATTTTGGGATTTTTATGAGTATTTCATGAGTATGAGTAGAACTTTGGCTTTATTATTAAAAGTGCAATACTTAGAATCAATAAAAACACATTTTATATAAACAATATTTTTTTAAATAAAATTTTGTCAGAAATAATTAAGTATAAATAATATTTATATATTAAAAAAAATATTGTTGAACTTACCCGCCCACTGTACCTTTCACTTTACATCCCACTGTATGTCGTTTACGGTCTATAAGCTAACGGTACTTTTCGCTGTCCAAGTGGCTTCTACCTCTCACACTCTCTCACTAACACATGCACTCACGAACTGAAGAGAAGAAGCAACCGTTACGAAACCGTTTTTGTATTTCAGGATAATAATTTAAAAACTCTATTTAAATTAATAAATCACTTATCCTAAGACACTAAAATCACTTTATTCAGCGACGAGAATGAGAACTCAAAGGAGAAACACAGAAAAACTCGCGTTTTGGCGGCATCATTGCTTGAGTAACGGAACTTTTGTGTAAGGGAATCCTTAAAACGATATATAGAGAGAAGATTCGCTCAGATCTTGTTATCCTGGGGGATATCAAGATACATTTCTTAACTTTTACTAATTAGGCACTGATATTTAAGCACAAAACAAAAAGAAATAAAAAATTCAAACGTATCCACAGACCGAAGAAGCGCCAAGGATCGTGCCAGCGAAGAAAATGAAAGAACGGAGATGCCGGAGTGGAAAACTGTGCCTAGTGTGGCCAGAAATTTCAGTAATTGGCAGCACTGTTCAGGACTTGGGCGCCAAAATAAATATTTTTAAATTTAATGAGAATGAGAGGTAGATAAATAGAAGGTTAAAAGATATTAAGGTATTATTGTAATAATTATTATTATTTTAATTCCTAAAAGGCTTGAAGATATAAAGGTATTATTATAATAATTATAAATATTAAAATTCCATTTTATTATCAAAAATAGCAAGATAATGCGATTTTTCTTTGAAAAGTTATATGTATTATTATTAAATAAGCTGAATTGTGCCTTTTTTTTAAACCTTATATAACTTAAAATTGATTAAATTACTATTCATTTATTGATTATTATACAATATATTCAAAGTATTATATCCTATAGATATTCATGTAACGAAAATGGTTATTAAATATAGCCATTGCATAATCTGGCTGATCCCACCGGCTGGCTGGGCTACCCCCGGAACCCTCATAGATTTTTTTTATGTACTCCCCTAGAGGAGCATCCTCTACCCCTCTAGTGTTGAGGGAATTCTCCAGTCCCCCCATTCGGGGAATCAATCAAGAAAGCTCCAAGCCGCAGAGAGAAACCCCAAAGAGACACACCGAGTGAGAGATATAGGGAGAGAGATCTTTGTGATATTTCCGGAGAACCAGTTATGGAGGGAGATTCAGATTCCAAAATGAGAATCAGCTTTATAGCTCAGTTGAAAGCCAGCAGCTCATTTAATCGGTGTCTCATCAGCTTCCAGACAGTTTTCATCTCAAAACAATAATAATAATAATATAAATAATAATAAGGAAATCCAACAAGAAAATATTAAAATACACAATAATTATCCAAGATGCTGTGTCGCGATGAATCGGGCTGTGTTTCGGCCCTAGTCTTGGCCAGTTTGTGCCTTGGCCTTTGTCGGGGCTATTTCACTCTAGAGGGTAATGTACTGAGAAAAATATTGGTTAAAAAAAATATAATGTAAAAAATGTATATATTATAATATACTTGTTTACAAGGTTTCCATCTGATTCCCATAAATATTGATAAGGAAATTAAAATGATTTTGTAATCTCAAAGTTATAGATTAAACTTTATAAAGTATATACATTAATGAATAATATTAGTGATATATATAATAGTTTGTAGACGGATATAAGTCCTGAAGGTTTAGTTATTAGAGCCTAAGGTACCGGGTTACTACATTCAAGTTACTATATTCAAGTTTGGGGTTTTCCTATAAGTAACTACATATCTTAACTTCCGGGTATCTATCACATATCTAATTAAAAAAAGCTTTTTTTTAATTTTAATTAATATAATATTTTTGATTATTTTCTCATAGTTGGAGATCCCTGTCCCACACCCAGCTATCGAAGTCGTTGCCAACCTGTCGAGGATTGCGCGACCCTGACATCCTATTTCCAGACCGGCCGCCTCACCGTGAAGACCCTGATGAACTGCGGCTATACGTATCGCAGTGAGAAGATCTGTTGTCCCGTTGAGGATGCCCATACCCAAAACAGGATAGATCAGAGTACTACAACGAGTACAACCACACCAAGGACTACGACAAGGACCACAACAAGGACCACAACGAGAACAACGATTAGGAGTACCACAACCCCTATAGCCCCCTATACCGATAATTGGGCGGATATTTTCCAAACGGATCGGGATTATGTCAGCTCCTCCGTGATAAAGGTATCAACGGCTCAACGAGCTTCGCGGGATAGTGTGGTATTCCGGGACACCTCGGAGGGTGCCGAGTGTAAGGCGCCGTTATATGAGGGGCAGTGCCGTGCCGTCTCCAACTGCCCCAGTGTGGAGCCGTTGCTGAAACAGCGTCGTCTGAGGGACGAGGACTTCACCACCTGCCGCGATGGCACCCGCGAGGAGATCATCTGTTGTCCCCTGAACTTGCCCCTGCAGCCTCGAGTCCAGAGTGAAACACGTCTGGGCGTATCGAGTGAGTCGCTGTCGCCTCAGTCGCCACAGGATCCCCAGGAGGCGGAGGTGATAGCTCGAGCGGATGCCCTTCTACCACAGTATCGTCATCTGGCCGCTCTGGCGCATCCCAATGCTGCTTTTGATGGCCACTGGCATCACTGTACCGCCATGGTGTTGACTCCTCAGCTCCTTCTTAGCTCCGCAGGATGCGAGAGGCCAAGTCATGCAGTATTCGGGGTGGCTGATATGCGGGATGTGGATGCTGATGAGGATTATCTCACAGACATTGTGGTAAGTGGGGTTGACTTCCAGTTAGATTCTCTCTTGTGTTCTAACCTTTACTTTTATTTTAGCGCCTGGTTCCTTTCCACAAGGACCTCTCCTTGATACGCCTCCAGGAGCCCCTCCATTTGGATGGACGGATCGCGGCCAATGTCAGTGTGGCTCCGGTCTGCAGCCAATACGAGCTGACCCGCCTTCAGGTCAGCGGCAGGCTAGTAGCCGTGGCCTGGGGCAAGGGTGATGGTGAGACTGTCCATACAAATCCTTACAAGACCTCACTTTAATCCATGAAATCTACTCCAGATACCGATTGTCCTTTGTACGAAATACCAATGCGCCTACGTCCCACCTGGGCCTGCGGGGATCTGCCCAATTACGGCGGTGTCAAGGATCTGGGAAGCTTACATATCTGCGTGGAACCGGAGAACGGCGTCAAGGATCTGGGACGTTTCTCCAACTCCAGTACTTGCTTGCCGTGTCCCGCCTCAGTGGCCAGTGTCCTTCATCTAGTACGACCCGCTGGTACACGGTGTGTCCTTGGTATAGCCACGCCCACGGGCGCCGATTGTGATGCCCGGATTATGTATTTCACGAGTCTTTTGAATAACCAATTTCGACAATTTGTGGAAAACGAGGAAAAGCAATAGTCGGTAGTACAATTTAGGCTAAATTAGATAAAGAAAACATATTTAAACGTAGTTTAAGTTTTAGTTGTAGGACTAGCAAGGTCACACTGGCAAGCTGACTTGCTTTAAATATGAATGTGGTCACTCTAGTGGACAACCAACAAAATAGTCTTTAAAGTAAAAACTCAATTACCTCAGTCATGTTCTCTTGTCACTGGGCATTCTAAATATATCTTAATTATTACGATAATTAATGCAAAACTCTTGGGGATTATTAACATTATTCCCGCATAAATTATATGGCAATTGTAAAAATACTGAGAGGGGCACGAGGCACAACTCTTTCGTCAGTTTGTCATTAATTATCTAAAACCCCAAAAAATAATAACAATGATTCATGGGTATTGCCTGGAAATTTTTATTTTTTTTGTAACTTGATTAAACTCGGTGTAAAAAACATAATGAATTCTACTTTATAGTCGATCTCTCCTCGCGTAAACTGCTCTCTGTGATTGACTCCAACTTTTTGTTTATATAAAAAAAATCTAGAGAATATAAAACCGGTTTCAAAATCAAGAGAGTAATACAATATTGGCACGATCTTGATGGATTCTCTGCCAATAATTTCCTACCTAGGTTGTGTCCGATAAACGACAATTCGAATTTCACCTGAAACTCCCTAACAATCATTGGAAATTAATTAAGAAGACAATCCAAAATGTAGAACAAGGTGTTGCCTCTTATCGGCAATAAATCCCCAACATCATTGTTGAGGGTTCGTCGGTACCGGGGCAGGGCATGGGGCTCGACCATATCGTCTATAAATATATACCCGCGACACTGACTGACAGTGACATTATAGAAAAGGAGATTATGGAAACGCCAAAATATATCAAATCGAAAATACAAAATCGCGGAGTACCCAAAGGTGAATCATTCTAGATGGTGAAATAGATTCCCAAAATCTATTTCCTTTTGGGGTAACCTTTAGGTCCCCCGGAGGCTTATTTATGTTACTATTAATTATATTTATATTTTATCTGTCTCCTTAGAAATGATTAAAACTGGAAGTTAACTTTTAAATTAAAAGTTTTAATATTTGAATACTACCTTTATAATATATATCTATTGTAATTGAATAATTATGTTTGTTGTTGCCATAAAATTTGAATTCATGAAAATTTTAGTTTAAAAAATAGTATATTTTTAAATAATAATATTTTAATGATAAATAATAATTTTATTATATATTAAAAAACGCTTTTTATCTAAAAAACTAAATGAAAAACAAAGTGTGGTAGGCTGCAGCACTTAAAATACGACTAGAGGGCGCCAAAACAATGGTAGATATATTGGATGTAAGTAAAATGTATGTATATGTCGGTAGATGTATTCATACTAACAGAAGTTCTGACAGAAGTTCAGAACAGAAGTTGCTTAAATATATAACATTATTTTTATTAATTTAACTTTAAAATATGATTAAAGTTGAGATTCAATAAATAAAATAAATAATTGCATCCCAAAAGGTCCTACGTCCAATACTTATTACGTCCAATTATTTATTGGTAAAAATTTTAAATTTCAATTCAAAAATTCAAAAAATGTCAACAATTTTAAGATTCTATTTCCTATTTTTCTACAAAAAAAATTTCAAAAATCCAATAGGTCGTAAAAACAAGTAGTCCTTAGCCCGAAATTTCAAACCTAATATTTTATGGGTATCATCTATCCGATCCTATTTTCTTATTCAACTGATAGCAGCCCTAGGCACAACATCGTGTGTAAAAAAGTGTAATTTAAAATTTTTTTTTCAAAAATTTATTTGCCTTGAATTTCTTTTAAAAGCCAGAGTAAAAAAAAAATAGAAACTTTCGTAATTTATTTTGTACAATATGGCTGACTCTGGTGAATCGAATGAATTGGTGAGTATAAGAGTATACAGGCCAGGATTTAACCTTTCTTTTTAAAGAATACGAATAAGTCCAACCCCGAGATAAGTAAAGGGGGTGTCAAGGAGAAGAAGTCGAATGAGAACCAAGATTCTGCCGAGAAGAATCAATTGGAGGAGAAGAAGCTGGAAGATTCTGGCATTGAGATCCTTCAAGAGGATCATGCTGAGGCTGAGAAAGATGAAAAGCCAAAGCCTAAAAATCAGAAAATGCACGAGCTAGTTTTCAGTGACGAAAGCATCGAACGTTATAAGCAGGTTGCCACTATAATTCCAGCACCTGAAAAGGCTCCTATCACCATCATGTTTGCACGTGGGTATCTCAATCCTGCTCTTGAGTTCCTGGCCGATACGAACGTGTTCCCGGCTGGTCAGGAGAAAGATCGTAAGATCCCAAGGTTGACCTTAATAGATGCCAAAAGTCGGGTGGCTACAAAACTGCGCCTAGCTCAAGAATCTGATAATAAAAAAAATAATTCTAAAAATAATAAATAAGTAGTGTCTGGAAATTATAGTTTTTTTAAATAGTATATTCTTTTTGTTTAGCTTTAATAAACTTGGTGAAAAAAACATAATGAATTCTACTTTATTGTTGACTGCTTTGTGATTTGATGCAACTTTTTGTATATATAAAAAAAATCTAGAGAATATAAAACCGCATTAAAATCAAGAGAGTTATACACCTGAAACTCCCTAACAATCACTGGAAATTAATTAAAAAGACAATCCAAAATGTAGAACAAGGTGTTGCCTCTTATCGGTAATAAATCCTAAACATCGTCGTTGTGGGTTCGTCAGTACCGGGCAGGGCATGGGGCTCTACCATATCGTCTATAAATATATAGTTTCCCGCGACACTGACTGACAGTGACATTATAAAAAGAAGGGGATTATGGAAACGCCTAAATATATCAAATAAAACCGAATCGCGGAGTACCCAAAGGTGAGTCATTCTACCGATTCTTAAGACTGAATGGTGAAATAGATTCCCAAAATCTATTTCATTTTGGGGGATCTCTTGTTCCCCCCGAGGCTTATAAGACAGAGGCTTATTCATCCAACAGTTTTAAAATAAAATAAATTATTCTATATTATTATTAATATTATTCATCTTTCTTTTTTCCCCTCAAATATATTAAAATTGGGTGTACTACTTCATCTACTTACCTTCATCATATTTATCTCTAAAAAATATATATTATTTTGAAAAAAAAAAAAAGAATTCATTCAAATTTTAGTGTAAGAAATAGACTATTTTTTAATAATATTTTTTTTGTAGTTTTATTATATACTAAAACACAATTTTTTAAAAAACTAAATGAAAAACAAAGTGTGGTAAGCAGTAGCATTTAATGCACGACTAGAGGGCGCTAAAGAATGGTATGTATATTTCATGTAAGGTAAGTAAGATGTATGTATACGTCGAATGTAAGGTAAATACATTCTACAGTCTACTGATGGCTCTCGATAGAAGTTCCTAAAATAAATAATATTTTATATGTCTTAATTTTAAAAGAAATATAATTAAAATTGAATAAAATGTTCCTTAGAAGGTAAGATATTTGTTTTTTGAATTGATATAAATCAATTCATTTGATTTATACACATTTTTCTTATAATTTAAATGAATTTATAATATTAAAATTACGAAAGAGGTATTTTAATAAATTTAAATAAAAATGTTAAGAGCTCAATTAATACAAAATATAATAACATCCCAAAAGGTAATACATTAGACAATTTTTTTTGGTAAAATTTCAAGAAATTTAAGATCCTGTTCCCTATTTTGTTACCAGAAAAATCTAAAATATCAAGTAGGTGATAAAAACATAGTAGTCCTTGGGCCGAAATATTTTGAGGGTGTCGGCCATCCGATGTGATTTTCTCATTCAACTGCTACCAGTCCTAGGCACAACATCGTGTGTAAAAAGGTGTGAATTTTGAAATTCGTTTTCTAAATTTTATTTGCCTCGAAATTTTATTAAAAGCTAAATAAAATAAATTGAAGCTTTTATAATAAATTTCATACGTAATATGCCTTATATAAGTGAATCAAAAAGAATGGTGAGTACATATTAGAATAAACAGGCCAGGTCTTAACCATTCCATCAAAAGAATACGCACAAGTCTAACCCCAAGAATCCCACGGAGCACAAAAGGGCTCTCGTCTTAGCCGGTATGAATGTTCTTCAAGAAAACTACCGTCAGGAGGATCATACTGAGGCTGAGATAAGGGAGATGCGACGTGCTTTACATCCCATACGATCTACAAGGGCTATACACCAGCTACGTTTCAGTGACGAAAGCATCGAGCGTTATGAGCAGCCTATAACTGTTGTACCAGCACCTGAAAGGGGTCGCGTTACTACCCAGTTTGTACGCGGGTATCTCACTCCTTCTTTGGAGTTCCTGGCCCATTTGAGCGTGCCTCCGGTTGATGAGGAAAGTGATCATGAGTCCCCAATATTGGTCGACAATGAAATAGCTACAACACTGCACGATGCTCAAGAATTTCATGATCATTATATAAGCTTTCAACAACAACTCGATCGTCGTCAAAAAGCGTTGCGGCGCCGGCGAACTATTAATCGAATTCTTTCATGGATCATTTGTATATATGTTGGATTATATGTCATTTTGGGTGTGTTTTGGGTAATCCCCGAACCCTCTCCGCCGACTTTTGGGCAGAGAATCAAGAAGGGATTGAAGCGAGTCGTAGGCAAGGCTCCAAAATAACATGCTTATGTTATTTTCATGTCAAATTTCATGTGTTATTCTGTTGTGTTATTTAATAAAATTTATAAAAAAAAATGTTAAGGGTTTATTTAAATTTTGGGGGTAGGGGTCCTTAATGTCTTAACCATTAAGATAGCGTCTCAAAACATTTATAAAATAATATTTTTTTGAATAAAAAACTCATTTATTTTTAAACAGAATAATTATCATTAAAAGCAAGGCCTCCTTAGCCAGTTAAATAAATGTGTAAATTAGCATACACTTGGCTGTCTGTGAGAAGTCTTTTTTTTTATAAAAATACTTCAATCTACCAGTTTTAAGGATCGATCGAATCAAGGAGCAGGGAACCCTAACTGCAGACTGTAGACTGCAGACTGGAGCCTGTTTAACTGGCTTTTGGCCAGAAAAAAGAGAGATTGGACACATTGGAATTGTGAGTCCGGCAGTCCAGAAACTTGAAAACTTGGCAGCCCGGCAGCATTGCATCGAATCGGCCAATCATGGCAATTTTCTATAATTTTGCACCATCCACAAAAGGCAGCTAAAACCTAAAAAAAAAAAAATGTAAAAAAAAAAGGAAAATGAAGTCGCTCACTAAATAAAATGCTCAGGGAAAATGAAACCGAAGTCAAAACTGATTTGAAGGTAGGGGGGTAGAAAATTTGCATAAACCTGGAACTGGATCTTTGAAATTTTAGCGGAGAGGAGCGAAGCTGAGCCATTGAAATACAGTGGAGCTTCCCTAAAAGGATAATGGGTTAAGAACATATACAAATTAAAGGTGTCCAGTTCTTGATCTATTTTTCTATTTGTTATATTTAAATAAAAGCTAGTAAAATTAAATATATTTATTTTCAAGTAAGTTATATTAAAAATTGAACTATAATATATTAAAATATTATAATTTTTAGACTTTTCTCTAGTTTATCCTTCTCATGGAAACTTCACTGTGATCGTAGATTTTTAGAAGGTCCAGCCAAGAGAGCAATTTGAAGTTAGAAGCGACTGTGACCGGGGCTGGGGCTATAGCTGGGGACTGGGGACTGAAACTGCTCTGGCAGTTGCTCCTGGAGGCCATCGCATCGTCGACATCGCAAGTCTCGAATAAAAATTATATTCAGGCGCTGATTACAATGATCGAGGAAATTGTCGTTGCCCGCAGCGAGCTGTTCGTAATTGGACTCTGGACATTTTGCATTTTGGACTCTGAAGGAGTGCGGGACTATCAAAGTTTTATTTATAAAAAAAATATATTCATATATTTATATACGTATATATATTATACGTATATATATGTATATAAGATATTGGAATATTTGCATATATTTTCTTACAGTTTTTTGAAGTGGAGGCTATAAGAATCTTAGGGGAGGGGAATAATCTTTAAAGAAATAAAAGTTATAGGGAGTTAAAAATTAAAAAAAAAATTTATTTTAAGTTAAATCTTTCATTGTAGAACCAATTTCTTTTCCTTACCAAAGTACAGTATTCTCATTCTAAAGTACAACCGCCTAAAAGTTAACGGTCAAGGTCGTATGGACCGGGTCACGTATATTCAATTTGACGGTTTAGTGAAAAACCCCGCAATAATCAATAATTTCCCATAATTAGCCGGCGGTTTGGCGAATTCGCGAAGATCGCAAGATCCCAGAATCGATGTTATTGATCCCGTCAAGATTCCCCGCTTTATTGCCAACAGTAACGCGATATATATATGCGCGATTTTGGCCAAGAGGCCAGATCCAGTTTATGAAGCTTCTTGAACAACCGATGATTGCTGGCAATCGAACTAATTTGATTGATTTGAGCCCTTTGAGCCCTATTTATTTGGGCCCAGAATTAAAAGATCCGTTATGCGTGATGGATCTTAACTTTAAAAAAAGGGGAATAAAAATATAAAGAATTTTTTTAATTTTATTTGTATTTACCCATGTGCGTGCTAGAAAGTGTTTCTGTGGTAACTTGTTTTCTTTTGTCCTTTGCGTTTTTTTTTTTTTGGTTTTCTTTACATTATTGACCTTTGTGGTTGATGGAACGTTTAAAAATTCATTTGCAACTGACCCTCGACAAGTGGAGCATGTAATGTATGTTTTTTCCAAAAATATAAAAATATATAACCGCAAAAAAGGACCTTCAATGCCGGCTGACGATCGGAAGTCTTTGTGGTTTTTTTTCTGCTTGAACTTCAAAGAAGGTTAAAATTAATTGACCATTTAAGGCGGCTTTTCAATAAGTATTTAATTTTTTTAGAACTGAATGTTATTCAAATACCTACTTATGAGTAATACCGGTAACTTCCGGAATTGGAATTCCTAACTCTTGACTTGGGGACTTTATCCCCTCAATCCCCTTCTGTTGGTCGAGTTCGTAGCCTAATTCTTTTGTTGGCTTCTGAAAATTTTCCAAGGCAACCGCATTTTTTTCCATTTTTTTTTATTATAATTATAATTATTATAAAAAAAAGTTATAATTAAAGGCAATAAAAAAAAAACCGCCAAATGTATATGAATATGAATGACTGCTGCTGGTAGTTGTTGTTGCTTTTGCCACTTTTCCAGGCATTTTTTTTTTCTTTTTCCACTTTATTATTAATTTTTCTTCTTTTTTTTTTTTTTTTTAATTGGAGCAACAAGCTGGCAACAAATGCGAATGAATGCGAATGGTTGTATTCGAATTCAGTTGAATTCCTCAACACCTGCCCCTTTGCCCCCGTGACCCGCGATTCCACACGCTCGTATACGCCCCTTAATAATGCCACGCCCCCATACATAGTCGTATGCGTAATGTGGGTGCGTTGAGCTAATTCTGTGGCACCCACAATTATCCCGTCACATTAATCCACTATGGAAATTTATGAGGTTTATAGAGATGGGGGCTCTGGACTCTATATAGTTTTTTCCTCTCTCTTCAGAGTCCAATAATTAAGCGCAATAAAAAGCAATTTATAAGACAGCTAAAAAATATGAAACTAATATGCAAAATATTGTAATATCCGACATGGTTTTTTGGTTAATTTAAATGGGGATTGTTGGTAGACGGTAGTAGAGGGAAATTTAATTATTTCTGGGAAGTATTTTGCTTGCTTATCCTTGGTAATAATCCATAAACATAATGAGGGGAGAAACGAATTATGAAAATGTATTTAATAAGCTACAAATATGGGGTATGGAGCATTTTTTATGGGGTATGTATATAGTAAAGCAAGCTAACGTTTGATAACATGGTGGAAAAATATTGTAAAATATTTGTAAAAATATCTACTCTGAAATTAATATACATTTTTAAGATTAAAACCTTGTTTTGTAAAGACTTCTATTGAAATTTACACAAAAAGGCTAGGAATTATAAGCATAAACAAGATATTAATTAAACACATGTAAAGCACCATTCTTTCCTACTAGAAAACACTTGAAATTATTACTAATATAATTTTAAATGGATTTATATTTGCATTATTATTTGAAACATTAAATATTGAAATAATAATTACCCAAAAAAGTCCCCAAAGTTTTCCCTTTAGACAGGGTGATCATTGTTTGCCCTCTCCCACGCTCTCTTACACCCACTCTGGCGCTCTCTTCCATTCCCTCTCATTCTGACACCTTTGGTCAAATTTCAGTTGGATCCTTCTTCGCATCACAATCTCTCTTCTACCTTAAATTGTTGTGTTCTTTAATCAGTGTTTAAAATTAAGATTTTATTAAATATATATATAATATTCATTATTGTCCCTCCGTAAAACAACAAAATGTTTAATTCCTTTTGAAAATGTCCAATCAAGTGTTCGGCTTGGGGAGCGCGCGGTGTACATATGTACATGTGTATGTGAAGTGGCGTCATTTTGTGATATTAAAATTGCAATTTCTTTAATTATAATTATTTCTATTAAAATCAGTGTTATTCTTATTTTATAAAACTATTTTTAATCAAGTGGTTAGTGTTTATTTAGTGTTTTCTTGAAGTTGCCTCCATTTTGTGGCATCTGCGTTGGCGACATCCTACGCCTGTTGCATCATTGAAAAAGAACCGTTAGTCTGTGGTGGCATGTAAATATGGAAGAAGAAGATGTGCAAATAATAAAGTGAGAAAAATTATGGGTAAGTAACAAAAACTTGTATTTTATTTATAATTGTAATATAATTTTGTTGAGTATTGTTAGTTCTAAATTCCGAAGCTTTGATTCTAGTTTATAGTTTCTGCATGAGAATAGGAAGATATTTATTTCAATAGTTATTGTTTAATTTCAAGAACCTGCAATGTTTCTGGACATATATTTTTCACATTTTTTTTATTCTATGAACTTTTAAGAATTCCAGGACGGTTAAATACAGAGAAGATATGGCATATATTGTAACTTTATTCAACTTACAAATACATATCATATAATTTTATGAATTTATTTGTTTATTTCTTTTATTATAAATATACTTTATTATTTACATATTTTTATAAAATTTTGTTTAACAACTTCTTTGGTCTCTTCTTGATCTAAGATCGCTTCTTCTTTGCATAATTATCCGAAACGATCTCTTTGGCTATGCCAAGGCCCACCCTAATGGCCGTCATGCAAATTGCCGCAGTTCCCCCTGTTGCAACATGTTGCCTCCCCCGCCCCCTAAGGCCCCATCGACCGTACATAAGTATGTGCCATCAATGCATCAGCTGCCAAATTACATGTTTCCCGGCAACGAGAAGAGAAATTATAAAATTATCACAGAAACAACAAAAAAAAAAACCAAGAAAAATGTAAAATAAAAAGAGGGACATAAGACAAGGATCTGTGGGGGGAGAAATGAGAAAGGTATAGGGAATATATGTTATAGGGGATACGCATTAAAGGTGCCACAGAGAGAACACAAAAAAAAAATTAAATAAAAAATTAAGGGTCTCGGTGTTGTCATTGTTATAGAAAAAGCTGAAACCGGAACGGGGAATGGGAACTGGAACTGCAACTGGAAAGGAAAAAAACTATAGATATTTATGAAATATACAAAGTGGGCGGTGCCCAGGACCACGCCCCTTGCCACACGGTTCCAAATGAAAAT